TTTAAATCCGTCTTCTATAATCATTCTCTGTGATTAGAGTTTACTTAGTAATAATCCTTCTCTCAATCTATCTTCCTTCTTATTGCACCCCTCTATTTCCCTTTTTCTCTCTTTCTCTATTGAGTGAAATGTTTTTCTATACCCACAAGTGTGTGTGCATTCTTCTCTCCTTTGACCAGTTTAGATGAAAATGAGATTTGTGTTGCCTGCTTCCCCAGCCCTTCCCTCGTTTGTATGGACTTTTACTTGTACACCCTAATTATGTAAGATAGTTTTCCCCATCCTTCCTCTGCTTTTTTCTCCTGTAGTGTATTCCTCTTCCTGCCTTGGTTACTTGGCTACAGCCTAAGGTCCTCAACCATTCTTTTCCCTGGACCTAGGTGCAGGTCCTCACCTCAGTCGGCACAGGGGGGCAGCTAAGGGGGGCAGCTAGGTGGTGCAGTGGATAGAGCAACAGCCCTGAAGTCAGGAGGACCTGAGTTCAAATCCAGCCTCAGACCAAACACCTGACACTTACTAGCTGTCACTTAACCCCAATTGCCTTTAAAAAAAAAAAAAGTCAATCTGCACAGGATCTGTGATCCAGCACTGGGTAATCAGTGATAGAGCTGCCAAATTGGCACCTCTTCCTGCTCCCTGAATAAAGGCAGACCCCTCTGCACCAGATAAATACTCCTCTGACCCTTGTACACAACTGCATTCAGGACTGTTCAAATCCCCTTCTGTAAGACGGTGTGGCTACTCCTAGATAAATCCTATTCCCAATATCCACAGATCTTTGTCTGTCCCCCTAGGCTACATGGGGCAGCTGCAAAAAAAATATGCACTGCAATTTTTTTCTTGCTTTTCCCCATCAGAACTTATTCTGGGGCATTTTCTAAATTTTGGTGGAGTTGTAGGGGACAGCTCAACTGCATCACATCCTTCTACTCCACCATCTTGGCTGGTCTCCTGCAGACACAATTCATAGCTAGGACCTTAATCAAAGCCTTTTCAGCACAGTAGAATCTTTCAGACCTTATTTTCTTAGCTTTTTTTTCCTTCCACTTTAAGGCAAAAATACTTAGAGACAGGGAGGAGGTGCAATTATGCCAACAGGCTGAAGTCTGGCTCTCATCCCTGCAGGAGCTTTGGAGGAAAAGGTGGACATTGAAGAAAGCCATTATAGTGAGAAGATCCCTAAGATGGTACTTGTGTGGTAGCATGAGCTAGTGAAGGACTACAAAGTGAGGCACAGAAACAATGGTCACTATAGGAAAGAAACCCTCTCAGGGAAGAAGCATATTCCCCTAGATAATGTTTGAGCCCTGGGGAAAAGTCCCCTTTCGTTTTGTGAACTCATCTTTCTGCAAGATAAAATCAGCTCTGAAACCTAAGCCTGCCTCTGGAGTCCCTCCCTCCCTTTGATTGAAAAAGGTGGAAAGGTAAAAAGCATGGAGATCCTCCCAGATCCTCTGTTTGAAGCCACCCAGGACATTCACTTCCTCATTTTCCACCAGGCTACTCTCCTGGTGATTTCATGATCTCCAGAAACTCATCATTCCACAAGATGAAATTAACTCTGAAACTCATGCCTCCTCAGATAATCTACCCCCCCACCTCCACAACCCCACACCTCCACCCCGCCCCTCAACTACCCACACTTCCCACCTTTCAGCTTTCATGTGTTGTTTTCACCCATTGGTTTGTGAACTCCTTGAGGGCAGGGACTGTCTTACGGCTTGGTTTTTGGGGTTTTTTTGTATTCCCATTGCCTAGCACAGTGGCTGACACATAGTAGGCACTTAATATCTTTATTGACTAATTCTGTGCTAGTTATGGTTCTGGTCACCTCCACATGTAATGAGACATTACAACTTTTTCTTTTTTTTTTTTGGCAATTGGGGTTAAGTGACTTGCCCAGGGTCACACAGTTAGTAAGTGTCAAGTGTTTGGTCTGAGGTCGGATTTGAACTCAGGTCCTCCTGACTTCAGGGCCGGTGCTCTATCCACTGTGCCACCTAGCTGCCCCTTACAACTTTCCTAAAGCTGGTGGTTTTAGAACTTGTGGATTAAAAAAAAAATGAAGAATAGTATAGTTCCGGCTCACAAGAAACTTAAGTCTAATAAGGAAGATATATTAAGTTGATCAAAAGGTTAAAACGGTTGGGGGGCTAGGGTGAGAAAGTACACCTGGGCAAACAGAAGCCAGACTCCATCCAATGATAATACCTGATAGGTGAAGGGAAGCTTTGACTACAATTTCCCTGTCCCTCCTTAGTCTAGGCTAGGATTCCAAAAGACAGGCTTGTCTCACACAATAAACAGGAGTTTATTGATTAACTTACAAACCACTGGAAGGACATTCACATGTACAAGGAAATATGAACCTGTCTCACCACTACCTAGGTCCCTGGAGTCCTAAGAAATGAAACAGCCTACATAAGTGTCTCTGGAAAACATCTTGTGAGAATGGCAGGCTGATTCTGAGTGGCCCATGGAAGTTGTGTACAATACCAGTTTATATCCAAGATGACAACTGGAACTAGATACCTTTACAAATTCATCAACCCCAGATACCTTTGAATCCAACTATTATGAGGCCAGCTAAGGATGAGCACAGGGACTGGTAAACTCTCACCAAATGGTTTCTATTTTATTTTCAGTAAAATATTAGGCTAGGTTCTCAGGTGAGGAGGAGGAGTAGAAGTGAGCTATGGGAGGTTTGAAGAGAGAGGAAAAAAATTTGGAAAATCATCTTTAGTGAGTAGGATAGTGGATTGATTAGAAAACAAATGTTACCTATGGAGCAGGCATTCCGAAGGGCACAGTGAAAGGCGTGGATAGCTTCACAGCAGGACATGATAGGAATTGGGTTGAGGGGTGACGGGAATAAGGGATTGAGTAATGGGGAACAGAATGAAGTTTGAATATAATAACAGTGGGTTCTGAATCACTGAAGTATATGACAGCATGAGTCTGCTAATCATTAAAAGAATGAGTTCAGGCAGGTTATCAACACCACCAAGCATTAAATTTCAGGGGGGGAGGGGTCTTCTCAGGTAGTGGTGAGACAGTGGTATGACGAGCTTGATGGAATTATGTCCCTCTTCCCAGGCAGGTTCCACAAACCAGGCTACCCAGTCCCTACCTGTCCTCCTCCTCCTCCACGTGTTCTTCTCAGATCCCAAATGGAAGTGGCCTCTCTGTCTTGTGAACCAACATAGCATGTGGCTTCTCTTACTGCCCTTTAACAATCTGCTTTGTAGAATTTGGATCGAAATTCCCTCCTGTTAAGCAAGCTTGCCAAAATCAAGGGCTTCAATTCTAAATCTCCTTGTAAGCCAGAATGTACACAAGGGCTAGATGATGTGTCACAAGGGCAGGGATTTCATCTTATTCACCTCTGCCCTCCCCACCATGCCTGGCACAGGGCCATGCACATAACAGGCTCCACAAGATATTTTCCAAATGAATGTGGTGAACAGTATAAGAAAATCCCTCACTTCGAAGGCTTCTGGAGCAGCAGGGCACTAGGTGGAAGATCAGTAAGTAGAAACAATTATCTTTTCATTAAGACATTAAAAACAATACAATAATGCCATGTACAGGATTGTATTGAATACAAGAGCAGGAAAACCACATAATAATTCATAATCATGCTACTGGGAAGATACTACTTGAACCTGTGACTATCCAAAATAATAACTTTTGAAGTCCTGCAGATTTCCTACAATTTAATCAGATTGTCTAAACACCTACTACTATGGAAGTTTTGAAAGAAGTGGGACTTAGGAGTAAGAAGGTACATCAAACAATTCTGACGCAAACAATTCTTGAAGAAAAGGCAAACAGGCAGATTAGGATGAAGGGTGAAGTGAGGGACTTAGGGTTTGCCAGAGGACTCTGAAGGGGGAAGGGTACCAAAGTACATCTACTTCAACTTTGCATCCAGCTCCACCCCTTCCCATTCTCTCTCCTTCCCTCTTTCCTAGAGATCCAAGGCATTTGCCATACCTCTTCTGGGGTCTTCATCTTCACCCAAGGAAAATTAAATCTATTACTGGGGTCAGTGAGATAGAACAGCTCCTTTGTAAAATTTAGTTCACAAGCCTGAAATTACAACTTTGAAGGAAAAGTCTGAGAAATTAGTCCAATCTGGAAACATGCTGTCTCAATGGAGACAAAAGCAATGCCCAGCCCACCTCAGATTCTTAGATTGAACTCAGTTTATTCATCCTCCCCACCACTCCTTCCCCTAAATGAAAGTCTAGGAAACAGATACAGTCTTTTCCCCAGGAGAGGGCTCAGCACATTTGATACTCTGTCTAGAGTTGAAGAATTAATATTCTGAATGGGTCACCTTAGATTCAAGTTCCATCATTTGGAGTTTCTACAACTTGAGCAAGTCTGACGTTTCTTTTGCTCATTCATAAAGTTTGAATATTCTCCAAAATGCCATTAGCCTCCTCACTCTGATCCCTCTCCAGAATATTTAACCCATTTTTACAGTAACATAAAAGCACCCTCTGCTGTTGAACAAGACACAATGTTCTCAGGAAATTACTATACTGTATTACCAAAAGCTTTATGAATAATAATGGATAATACAGAACTAGAAAAAAAAACTTTACTAGTATTGGAGAAAGTGCTACTAGACAACAGTCATTCTGAAAGATCTGGAGGGTTTACCGCACTGTAAGTTCAAATGGGGTCAACAGGGACTTACAGCAATAAAAAAATGTTTTCTTTGGCTATACTGAAGTGTCTAGAATACCTATACTCTTCCCTGGTCAAACCACAAGTAGCATATTATGGAATACTATATACATTTCTGGGTAACACATTTTAACTAGAGATGGAAAAACTAGAGACAAAAATTTTTGGTATAGAAAGCCTCTAAGGTTTCTTCTCAATCAGATTCTGTGATCCTGTCTTCCCATTGGTGAAAAGGGAATAAGACCTACCTGGCCTAAATCACAGGGTTGTTATAAGGATAAAAATAAAATGATTTCAAAAAATAAGTTAGCAGCACGCCACAGTTTATTGTTAACAGAACATAAGAACTGCCACATCAGGTCAGCCCCATCTCCCAGCCAAGGGTCCATGCTCTTCTCAATGACGTTCCCTCAGTATTGAAGGAGGTCCTCCAAAGCACCTCTTATCTTCTTTAATGACACAATAGCCCTATCTTCCATGCATTTACCTAAGCTATTCCTGATCCCCAATTACATATGTGAAGAGGACCACTTATAGACAGTAACAAATTCCTTAAGCTTACTCTGGGTTGTGCTAAAGGGCACTTGCTTTTAATCACTCCAATCCAGCTTTTAAAAGAAGTCTACTCTTCTGACAATTCTGGAGTACAAATTCACATTCACTCTTTACAACATTACAGACTCTACCATATTTTAACCTTGCTCTCCAACCTGGAGAACACAGATTTTTATGTCAAACCTACAATATTCTTCTCTAGTTCTGTCATGTCTTTCTCAAGCCATGGCAACAAGAAACACAGAAGATAGTGTCCATGTACAGACAAATCGGTTTTGCACTGGGAGTGATGTGCTGGTTTGCTATTCTGTCCAGAAATGTGCTCATCATTTGATTGAACTTTTTGGCTCCAGCAGTACCCTGAGCTAATTATGTCAGGGAATAGTCTCCAACAACTTATAGATCTTTCCTGGGTCAAGAATGGAAGGGATAGTTAGCAAAGAAACTAATTCTAAATAGTCTGAATCACTGTCACCTAAATCACCTGCTTTATACTTGTCCCCATGGAAGTACACTTAGGATTTCTGACTGCTCCCATCAAATACTCCTACAGTTTGCCTTCTGCTAGTTCAGCATTTCATTGCTACCAGGAGTTTAGAGTATCACTTGTACACCTGAAGAGCACCGTGACCCACAGTGTTAACAAAATATGAGCAAAACTGCAGGTCCTGCTTGCTGCCCAGCAGCCTGAGAGAGAATGGACCCTCTGCATGTGCCGTGTCACTAAGAGGCCAACTGAGAACTATTCTGGAGGGCTCCTTTCCAAAGGAAAACCAGAGACTAATTCAGTGGAGTTGACATGCTCTCAGTCTGACAGGCACAGAGACACCAGAAAAACCATCCTCCACCTGGCAGACTATACCAACGGATGTAAACTTCCCCACCACCACCTGCAGCAACTAAATAACTAGGTCGGCTGCTTGCCTGGAACATCAAAAGACTGGTTCCCTCCCCCTCCCAAGTTCACTTCAATTTGTTAGGGAGGTTGAACAGGAGGAGGAGATAATCTATCAAACCTAAATCTCTTTCCACTGTGAAGTATTTAGGAAGAAGGGTCTCCATTTCTAACATGAAAGCTCCCCAGAGACTTTTCTGCTTACTGATTAGGGCCTGACAGTCATCACTTGGCTACTTAACTATCTCTACAGCTGATAATCTCCAATTTCCAGACGAGAAAAAAAAAAGTAGCCACCTAGAAAATCAGAAAGTAGTGGCATTCCTGACTCCCACACATTTCATGAGGTGTCCAGAATTTGGCATGTTGGGCTAAACTCCACAGCACTCAGGTAGCAGAAATTAACTTGATTTCTTTCATTCTCTTTGCTAAATATGGGTAACAATCCCTATTCTGATTCATTTGCCCTAACAGTTCCTGAGGCTTAATAGCTTGTCCCTCACAACTCATACAAACATCGATGCTTAAATTTAACGGGATGCAAAGCACAAGAACAAATCATGTTAGCTAACTGGCCTCCTACTGCTCACTTAGCCTGTTCCACTATTTACTTCCTCCTCTCCAGTCCCTCCTGACTTGCTGGCCCTCTACCGAGTGGAAGTGGCCAATGGACAGTGAAATGAAATGGGCCTTGGGCCTCATCTCACAGGTGCTGCTTCTTACTCAGCAGACAGATGAGTTGAATCAGAAGGGCCTAGAGATTTCAACTGAGTCCTCATCATGTTCATTATGACAGATCTGAAAACAAGTCTTCTGGTCTCTAGGGATCCTGGTTTGACTTCTAGATCAGAGAGCTGTGTTGGGTTTATTGCCCTATACACTAAGATTCTGCAAAGAAAAACAGGTGGGATGCCTTCATGACCATATGTAGGGTCAGAAGGCTAGGCCTTCCCTCCTCTAATTCTTTTTTTATTTATTTTGATCTTGGTAACCCTCCTGAAGGGGAAGAAGCTTTTTCCTCTCTGAAAATCAGAGCTCCTAATCCCATGTGGTGATAATGCCTATAAAGTGTGTGAGCCCCAGTGGTATAGCTATCTGCTGCATTAAAGAGGGTTGGGGGTGGGGCAAGGGAGGGAAGAGGAGAAAGGAGTGGCCTGGAGGCCAAAATCTGCGGATCCCAAAGAATGGTATTGGATTTGCTGAATAGTGAGGTTAGCCCAGTGGCTCTATAAGACTCAGATGCCTATCCTTGATGATTGAGCAGGCAAACAAGGACGACAGTCTCAAAGGAAGTCTTCAAGAAAGCAGGCAACATCACAAAGCAGTCTGTGTGCCTGTGGGCTTGTTGGAAAGCAGCCATCACAGACGAAGAGAGTGGAAATGTTACACAGGCATCTTCAAGGAGCTGGCGGCAATCGCTATAGGAGGAAGAAAGAAAACACAGAGTCAAGACTTAGCCAACCAAAATAAAGGAGCCTTTGTTCTGCTGTTCAGGAAAGAAAGGTAAGGGTAAGGTGGAGGATTGAGGAGTTAAGGTTAGTAGTTACATCCTCATTCTTGGAGGCAGCATAAAAATTTAGTCAAGTCAGATTCCTATAGCAAGACCCTTCCTAAAACCCACATCCTACTCAAGGCAAAGTTTTTCCCTTTTCCCTCAATGATCGAAACTGACTACCAGTCAACATTCATTCCCACCACACAACATACATTTCTTAACTACTCAATAAAAAAGAAAATTACCACATGCAACATCGAGTTACACATGGTTGCAAGCAGCAAAGTTCACAAGTGTTCACAAGTCACCAGTTATTAAAATTCTTAGAAAAACACCAAGCCCACAATGGTCTGATACAAGGATCAAGGATACCAGCAGAACCTGTATCCTTTTCTTCACTCACAGGCTTGATTAACCCTTAGCATCTCCTGGCTCCCAGATTTTGTGAAATTCAGCTTATGTGACAGAAAGAGCTCTGCTGCAAAGCCAGCTAGGGAATTATATTCAGTTCAGCTTTTTAGGGCAAGAATGAAACGAGGCCATCAATCAGCTGGCCCACTGGATCAGAAAAGCTCCCTGAAGGAAGCTAGGTGGTACAGTGGATAGAGTCAGGAGGACCTGAATTCAAATGCAGCCTCAGACACTTGACACTTGCTAGTTATGTGACCCTGGGCAAGTCACTTAACCCTGACTGCCTCACGAAAAAAGAAAAGGGAAAAAAAAAAAGCTCCCTGAAAACAAGGGACTCAAGTTGGCATGGCATGTAATCATGGCACAGTTCTGCTGTCTCGGGCTTCCTCTGATTTAGTTCTCAGATAGGCCCTATTTAATCTCTGGTTCTATAAAAAACAACAGCCCAACTCACAAAATGAATATAAAGGTTCCCAGATCATCTGCCCTTAGGACAGCTCTTTCCTGGCTCAAACTTTTTTTTTAAGCTAATGCATGCATTGTACCAAGTGCTTTACAATTATCTCATTTGATCCTGACAACAACCCTAGGAAGGTAGGTGCTGTTATTATCCCCATTTTACAGAAGAGGAAACTGAAGGAAAGAAGTTAAAGTGGTTTACCAGGGTCACAGAGCTAGTTAGTTAAGTGTCTGAGCCAGATTTGAAGCCAGGTGTTTTTGACTCCAGGCTCACTCAATATATCAAAAACAATTTATCCTTTCCCCCAAAACGTTCCTCTCCTTCTGACTTGAATTGTCAGTGGTACCTATTCACCTATGTTCAGCTCCTCATTCTCTTTTTCTGGCTTAACATGTACAGAACATTCTCTTCTCTTCTCTCTTCCTCTTGACACTATTGTCAGCTCCCATGGTTTTAATTATCATCACTACGCAGAGGACTCCCAGATCTATATATCCAGACCTAGTTTCTACTGTGCTCTAGTCATATATCATGAACTCTTACTGTTTATTGCATATTTCCAAATGGATAGCCTGTAAGTATCTCCAACTCAGCATGTCCACAACAAAACTCATACTCTTTTCCCTAAGTTCACCCCAGTTCCAAAATTTCCCTATTTCTGTCAAAGGCACTAACATACTTCCCATCATCAAAGTTCAAAACCCTGGATTCATCCTCCTCCTCTCTCACCCCACCATGTCCAATCAGTTGCCAAATCCTGTCAATTCTACCCACACAATCTCTCATACATCCATCTTCTTCTTTACACTCACATAACCACCACCCTAGTTCGAGGTCCTTAGCACACTTCTCACCTGAATTACTGCAATAGTTTAATTGGTTTCCCTGCCTCCATTCTCCCTGCTCTTCAATTCGGCCTCCCTACGGGTAACAAAGTGATATTCCTAAAAGCTCAGTTCTGACCACATCACTCCCCTGCAAAAAAAGCTCCAATGCTTACCTATTGACACAAAAATAAAATACAAATGCCTCAGTTTAACATTTAAAGTACTTCTCAGCCTGACTCCAGGCTACCTTTTCCCAGTTTATTATACATTATTCCCCTTCATACACTCTACAATCTAGCCTAATTGCCCTTCTTGTTATTTTATTTCCTATCTCCTTGTCTTTACACAGCCTGATACCTAAAAGGCATCCCTCTCTCATCTTCTCCTCTTACAATTCCTAGCTTCTTTCAAAGCTCACCTCAAGTGCCACCTCCTACATTAGGCCTTTCTGGATCCTACCTGGTTTAGCTACAAGTGCACCTGTCCTCACCCTGAAATTACCTGGTATTTACATAGATACGCATATATTGCTTCAACAAACAGAATGTGGGGCTCCTTAGGGAATGCTTCCTTCTTATCTCTATATCCTCAGGATCTACCATAGCACCTGGCACACAACAGGCACCTAACAGGTACTGATTGACTGACAGTGCCAAGATCTCTCACCATATTAGCTCATTAACATTTCCCAGAATGGCCTCTCATCGAAAGTCTTAGAAAGGGTGAAGGGTGCTGTTTTTCTACCATAACTGATGACAGGTAGCAATCATTATACCAACTTCTCCCCCAAAAGAGGAATTTCAGAAGAGTGATGCCTACAAAAAACTTCTAAAGTCATCTGACAGCCACAAATTACTTACAGCACCCACTAACTAAGCTTATTTGATAATCAAACCAGGCACAGTACATAATAATGGATAGTGCCCATATAAGCCATGCTCTCAGCAAGCGTGTTCAAGACTAGAATAAAATCCAGTTTTTTTCTGATGCCACCAATGTGTGGATAGCCTTCCTGAGCTCCATCCTATGATCTGGAAGATTTCACATCAAAAGCTCACAGTAATTATCAGATCAAATAAAGAAGGTCATAATAATAACATCTTCAGAAGAAGTAAGGAGCAAGAAGCAATGGAACTGCAATAAGCCCAGGAGAAACTGAAGAATGAAGCTCACAGAGAGTTGGGAAATAGAATATCATGTGAGAAGAATAAGAATGCCAATTGGGGTATGTGAAGGGGTATAATATGTAATAAACCAGGAAAAGGTAGTTAACTTAAAAGGTTGTTAACTTGAAGCACTTTTCCCTAAGTTTATCCTACATTTAATTCAAATGGAGGCACTACTGTCTAAATCTGTGTAAACTCTTGACCTACAATGCTACTAAAAAAAGGAAGAATATTTCTGCAAAGCCTTCCTCTACAGCTGCTGAGTGATGGATTAGACAGATGGCTAGAGTATCCTGCAGGTCTATGCCCTCCACCTCACATGAGACTGCCTTTCTCATTGGCAAAACTCACCTGTGGGGTAGAAGGCAGAGCCTGAGGGGTGGACTCCTCTAAGGAGGCAGCTCCTGTGCCCATTGGACTCAGTGTGGTGACACGGCTTGGTTGGCCTCGTAGAGTTACTGTAATGGTGGTTGGAGCCTTCAAGCCTACAGAAAATAAGGATCCAAGTTACTATTAGAACCTACTATATCAAATGGGGTCTTTCCAGCATCATCTCCTTTTCCTGATCAGTTTCTTTCTGCCCACCTAACCAACTCAATTGTGCCCCACTACTCAAAGTTCAGAAAGCAACAGTAAACAGCCTGTGTTTTCATGACCTCTTCAGAGGATGAACCAAAGCAAGGGACCTCAGAGATCATCTAGTCCAAGTTCCCATCCAATGCAAAAATCCCCTTTCCATTACCCTCAACACAAGTTCGCTCAATTTCTGTTTCAATACCGCTAGCAACGGGAAACATACTCCCTCCCAAAACAGTTCATTCTATTTTAAGACGGTTCTAACTGTTCCTTATGTATACGGCAGACTACATCTGCCTCCCCAAAAACTTCTGCCCTTTGGTTCTAAGCCTATCTTCTTAAGTTACACAAAAATCCATGCAGCCAAATTAGTGGAGGATCCCTTCCTAATTCTCTTGAGTTTCAGTTTAATGTCATGCCTCACCCATATGCTGTGAGCAGGCAGGCTACAGAGCTGAGATTTCCCAATCTCTCATTCCTACAAGTCCTAAGACTCACCTGCCGTTTGATTAGAAATCTGAGCCAGGCCAGGGAGGCTACTGGCCAACTTGGCAAGGCCCCCATTGGTCAGCAGTTGGTGGATGGCTGTAGGCTTCCCACCAGGAGTGGCACCCAAGGAGGAGAGGGTGGTGGCCACAGGAATGGTACGAACAATGGTGCCAGTGCCTGTGGTGATGGCACCCAGGCTCTGCATAGGGGTAGGCAACTTCACACTGGTGGTCTGTGGGATATATAAGCCCAGGTATTAAAAGGAAGTATCATTTCATGACATTCTTTGAGTTTTCAAGAACCACAGAGGGTTGAAGGGATAGATAAAGGGAAGCTCTAATAACAATTGAAAGTTTCATAGTCCTCACCAGGATTGTTGTGAGAGCAAATAAAATAATAACTGTAAAGTGCTTGGCACATAGTAAGCACTATATAAATGTTTATTATTGTTGTTATTACTATGATTGACCCTAATCCCAACTTCACTGTGACAACCCCTTCCCTAATCTGCCCATCCCAGTACAATGTGGACCTCAGGACTGCTGACCACTTACCTGTGTGGCTGGCCCTGGGGAAGCACTAGCTGGGAGGGTGGGAGTTTTGCTGCTGATATCCTGCAGGCTGAAGCTGAGCCCCTGAAGGAGGCTGCTGGCAGATGTGGACCCTGGGAGGAGAAGACCACAACTGATGCAACAGGCTTAGCCACTCTCACTTCAGCCCAAAGAAGGCTGCCCACCTTTCATCATCAACTAACATGTCAATCATTGTTTGCTGGTTTGGACTCTTACAACTAGCATTTAACTATCTCCCTACTCTTCTCTGAAGACTCATGTGGTACATGGCAAAAAAGTTAGGGTCCTATATTAGGGATTCCCGCTCACTCTAAACTCTTCCCCCCACCTAATCTATTTTATGAGACAGGACTTTTAAGTTCATAAAGGCTCTCCCTGGCCTGATTCATTCGCTTGCCAACAGACTTTCTGCTACCAACCTCTGCCTGGAAGAGGGAAAAGATCTAAGGGAAGAGCCACAGAGATATCTCAAGGCCACAACCAGGAGTGGGGAACCTGCAACCTCGAGGCCCCATGTGGCCCTGTAGCTCCTCAAGTGCAGCCTTTTGACTGAGTCCAAGTTTTACAAAACAAATCCTCTTATTAAGCAGATTTGTTCTGTGAAGTTTGGATTCAAAGGGCCTCACTTGAGGACCTAGAGGGCCACATGGGGCCTCGAGGCCAAAGGCTCCCCACCCCTGCACAACCACTCCTAGTATAGACTAATGGACCTTCTTTAAGGAGGAAGAAAATACTTGGTCTTGCTAGTATCCAGTATTTTATTGGGTCACATCTCTGATTCCATTCTTTGAGTGTAAAAATGTTTCTTAAAAGGGAATGGATTCAAATAAAGGTATCATAGCTCAAATATATAAAGAGCTTTGTCAAATTAATAAGAATATGGGTCATTTCCCTATTGACAAATGGTCAAAGGATGTGAACAGGCAGTTTTTGGATGAAGAAATCAATATGAAACAATGCCCTACATCATTATTGCTTACAGAAATGCAAATTAAAACACCTTTGAGATATCATCTTACAACTATCAGATTGGCTAAAACGATAGAAGGGGAAAACAACAAACGTTGTAGGGATGTGGAAAAATCGGGACACTAATTCACTCTTGGTGGAACTGTGAACTAATCCAACCATTTTAGAGAGCAATCTGGAATTGTGCCCAAAGAGTTATAAAAACTGTGTATACCCTTTGACCCAACAATATCACTTTTTAGGTCTGTTTCCCAAGGTGATCAGGGAAAAGGAAAAGAACTTATATGTTGTAAAATATTTATAGCAGCTCTCTTTGTGGTGACAAAGAAGTGGAAATTGAGGCATCAATTGGGGAATGGCAAAACAAGTTATGGTATATAATTGCGATGGAATACCACTGTGCTATAAGGAATAATGAGCTGGTTGATTTTGGAAAAACATGGAAAGATTTGCATGAAATAATGAAAAGTGAAATAAGAATAAGCAGAACCAAGAGAATGTTGTACAAAGTAATAGCAACACTGTTTTAAAAGCAACTTTGAATAACTAAATCATTTTGATTCTAACCAATTAGAAGGAAGATGCTATCCACATCCAGAGAAAAAACTGATATAGAGATGTATAGTATAGTTTTACATACATACATATACATACACACACACACACACACACACACACACACACACACACATTCACTCACACACTTGTATCTAATGGTATCCTTCTTTAAAGAAAAAATATACAAAAGTGCACAGCAGAGAACAAAAGAAAACTTAGAAGGAAGCACAGAAAATCAGGGTAGCTTTGAAAATGATGTGTAGTATTTATTACATAGTATTTTTTTTAAAGTAAACAGTATGAAATGGAAATAGTTTTATATTGAATCTTCTTTTTATGCTGTGCTGTGTACATGGAAATGTTGGGGATTTTTTTAAAGTCTTCTTGTATTTAAGTTTAAAATGACTAAAAAAGTTTTTAAAAAAGGAATGGAACCTGCAGCCTCCAAAATTCTACAAACTGGTACAATTGTAGACTGATCGATCACTCACAGTAAGAAATAAGGCTGATTAACTCCCTTATCGTGATTGAAGCCTTGGCTAATATCTAATGACAGCATCATGCAAACCCTACACCTATAAACCAGGCCAAAAAAAGATCCCTCCCACACCAAACCACCACCATCCCCCACTCCCCCACCCACCCAACAGCACACCAAAAAGCACAAGAAGATAAAGTGGGACACAAAGTACCTGGGAGTGTGCTGCCAGGAGAGGCTGCCACACAGTGACCACCACTGGCCACCAAGCGGCTCTGCAGAGTGTGGAAGGCACTAGGAGCAGTACTGTTGGGAATAATGGAGGAAGAGGCTGGACTCACTGACACTGCTTCAGAAGCTGCACTTGATCTGGAGAGACAGGAAAAGTGTTGAAGAACTGCTCCAAATTTCAGCAAGGCAGATTGATGGGGACAGACTTATGGGGATAATGAAGAATAAAGCAGGGGTCAAGTGAGGCACAAGAGAGATCAGCAGAGATATAACTTTGGCCTCCTGACTCTCAACTTCTCGCAATTCCCTATATCCTATATATTACACAACATCCTAAGCCAAAGTCTACCAATAGGGAATGCAGCCAAGTGTAGAAATCAGTAAGGTATAAGGGAGACTTCTACATCTCCCTCTGGGGGCCAGGCCATCAGAACAAGGATATGAGTAATGGTAATAAGGCTGAAGATCCTCAAATAAAAAGTGCCTCCACTTTTTGTGGATATAAATGTATAATGGCTTACCCTACAGGGATATGCTTCATGAAAGCAGTCTAAAATAAACTTGAATGACTAAGGCCACAGTTTATGTGATCTATCAGAAAGAGACCAAAAGAAATGACATTTAAAAAAACAAAGTTAGGCAGACTCACTTGGCTGTGGTGAGCAGCCCCGTTAGCTCCTTGGCACCTACAGCGGCTTGCCCCCGAGTCACAGTAATGGGCTTTCCTCCTGAAACTGCACAACAACAGCTTCTCAGCACATTGACTTGATTATGCCTACTTCTGCCTATACCTCTTAGAATCACAGAGCGCTGGGAAAATGCAAGAAACCTGGACTGATCTCACTATTCGCACCCTAAACTGAGCTATGGTTCAATGATAAAGAGCTTCCGACTCCTAGTCAGAAGGCCTAGTTTCAAGTCCCAATTCCACCCTTTACTAACTACGTGACCATGGGAATTCAATTCAAAGAGTATTTATTAAGCACCTATTCTGTGCCAGACACTAATAGGCACTGGAGATAAAAAAATCAAAAATGAAAAACCCCTGTCCTCAAAGAACTTACATTCTAAAAAAGGTAGGCAACAAGTGAAGTGCAAAATACGTACAAAGTAAATACAAAGCAATTCGGGGGGCTTAGGCAGAGGACACTAACAACTAGGGGATCAGGAAAAGGTTTCATACAGGACATGGCACCTGAGTTATGCTTTGAAGGGAACAAAACATTTTAAGAGGCAGAAAGAGAACATTCTAGGACAGAGCCTGAGGAAAGGCAAAGGAAAGGGAAATGGCATTTCACATTTCGGGAATGGCAAACAAGCCAATCTGACTGGTACAGAGTGGGTGAGGGAAGTAGTATGAAATCAGTCTAGAAAGACAGGCTGGACCCAAATTTTGAAAGACTTTAAATGCCAAATAAAGTCACTATTTTATCCTAGAGGTAAAAGGGAGCCACTGAAGCCTCTTGAACAGGGGAGTGACATAAACAGATTTGTGCTTTAGGAATATTAATTTAGCAGTTAGCCATTTCCCTTCACAGGGCTTTAGTTTCCTTAATAGTAAAATGAGGGAGTGATACTAAATTTTCTCTGTAAGTCCATTCAAAAGTCCATTCTAACAGAATATGACTCCAATCTCAGATCAATGGACATTCCCTGGTTTCTTCAGCATGTACTCCAATGTCTACTTCTACTATAAGCTTCTTGTAACATGGAATGAAGCAGGAACTACAAATGGGACAGTCTGTGCTCTCTGTGAGTGTTCAATTAGTACAATAACAGCTTCCCTAGACACTTGCCCTCTGTGCTTCCTCCTTGGGATGGGAGACTTGGTCCACTAGCTCCATCCCCATGAGAGACAATGGTCACTTTGATCTTGGCTCGCTTGGAAGCCTTGCTGCCCGGAGGGGGGCTAGGAGGATGCTGACGCTTCAGCTGGCCCCGAAGGTCTTCTTTATCAGCTTCCTCAGCCTGGTCTGAGGAGATGGGAACTGAAAAGTGAAGAAGATCAGTTTGAAGTCTCCTCCAATCCAGGAAGGCCCTGTTGGGCCTGTTAAGGACTGCCTCAGAGAGATGCACAAGCATGCACAATACACATACACACTACTCAAACTGAATGATCAGCCCATGTCCAAGGCCTTGCACCCAAGATGCTTACTAAAGTCAATTCTGCCTTCAGCTGCCTGACCTCAGATTCTACCCCACAGCAGCACTCTGATCCTAGAACCCCATGTTACACCTCTGTCCTATCCTGAATGATGTGACTACATCCCTGCTCAAACCTACCCCAGCCCTGGAGAATGTGAAGGCCCAGAAAGAAGAAAGGAGGTAATTTCTCCCTACCACCACTAGGTCCAACAAGAGAATATTAGGGTGATAGGAAGACTCTCTAATAGATATAGGTAGTATTTCCCAGTCTCCGAAACTGTTCCATCCTTCTCTGATTCCATTAGTCCCTCAAATCACAAATCTAGAGTTCCCTTGGGGATATTAAACATCGCAGAAAGCACAGCAAGGCAAAGAAATAAGCAGGACCAGAGAAAGGCCAGCAGTATACATGGGGATCACACAACATATGGCCACTAGCCCTGTCCAACAAGAGAAGGAAGGCTATCCTCTTCTAATAGTTAAAATTTCCATGTAAACACTGAGTTTTGTCCAACCCCCTAAAATCATGGGGTTCTCTTTGTCAAATGTAGGAGACCTAAGGTAATTCCACTGTTTAAAAAATAGCTCTCTTCTGTCCTCAGGCTAGAAGTTCCAATATGGATTCCAAAGTTCCTGTTCCAAAGGGACCAGGGCTAAAAGCACAACATGCAATCTTCTTCAGAAATTGCCTCTCTATAGCATACAAACCAGCCTTTCTTCATTGATTGGTGAATAGATCCAAAACAAACTCATCTACAAGGCTGACTATGCCTTCCTTGTTCTCCTCTCACCAAAGTTCCCTTCATATAGGCCTCTATAGACTGGCTCATTCCTCTAGCTTTGCTGCCAACTTCTCAGGAGACTGTCCCACCCCATCCCTCCCCAATTTAAGCACAAAGGGCAATATCAGCTGCTCCCATAAGGGGTGCTTGGAACCACAAGCATTTCCTCCTGATCACCATCACAGTACAATCAGAGCTAGAATCATTCAAGACCTGGATGTGCTAGCTCAAATAAGGAGTGGAAGAGAGACATGGAAGGTTGGTTTTTTATTTTTAAAAAAAAAAGCTCTGAAAGTTTGTAAATGGTTTTGTTCCTTTAGTGGCCATGATGAGAACAGGAAAGCAGAAGCAAAACAAAGAGTACAGAAACACAGGCCTTTCTATACATGCAAAAGCTTGCAGAGAAAAAGGGGTCACGCAGACAAAGCAAGAAAATGAGAACACAAAGGGAAAAAAAGAAGTGAAACAGAGAATAAAAGACAGCAGGAGAAAGAACAAGAAAAAATAAAAAAGATGCAACAGGCAAGAGGGTTCCACAGAGACAAATCCATTGAGAGAAATAGGATGATGGAGAGAGGGGCACAAAGAAAGGACTAAGAGGGGACAAAACAAAAGGCAAATGAGAGGAAAGGCTAGAGCAAAATTTCAATCAATTTCAACTCAAATATTAAGCACCTACTTAGTGCAAGGAATCATGCTAGACTGTATGTGAAAGAGGCAAGTTGAGCAGCAGAGGCAGAGAAAGCAAGGGACAGGCAAGCAAGAAAAAGATACTCACCAAAGAGACAGGAGGAGGTGCCGGGAGGAAGAGTTTTCCTCACCAGCATGTTTTGTTTCAGAAAAGCAGCAAACTGTGCTGGAATGAATCAGAAAGAATTACAGAATCATAGCCGGCCAAGGAAGACAAGAAGGGGAGAGGGAGCCAGGAAGGGGTCTAAAGATGTCTCCTCACATTACTTCTTGCTAACTGAAACCATCACTAATAAGGTTATAAGGTTACTGATCTCACTCATGACCAATCAGTCATGTGACCAAATGGACCCCATTTTGATTCCCTGACTGATCAATGTCATAAGTGTGCCTATTAGCAAGCAACCTCTAAACATTCCCTGAATTGCTGTGCCCCATATATGGTCCAAATGGGAGTAAAAGCTAACATCTCAACCTTTCCTTTTGACAAAAACAAAATGAAACACCACTTAATGGTACTTAGCTACAACCACAAAGCCACCAAGCAGACACAGAGCATAAAAACACTATCACACCAGCTTGGAGAACTTGTTTGCTCCCATATATTCATGCACATACGTGGCTTTCTCTTTTGTTAGCACTATTTTTCTAGGCTACGCTGAAGGAATCTAGGGTTTGAGTTCTAAACCTTAAGCACCAGATAAAGAAATGCAGAGTACATAAATAGATAAGATGATTCTGTTTGACAGGCAGTCTGAGTTCAGTATATTAAGTTACAGCAAGAAATAACTCCTGCTATTTCCAGGCACTCAACGCCCCCTAGGGAAATTTGAACATGTTAGATGTTCCTGGATAAACAATCAATTCCCATAATACCAGACCCTATTTGGGCCAAATCAAAGCCAGAATTATCAGCATGAAAATTATTAGCTTTCCTTAAGCAATTTCTCTGACACTTTCCTTCTCTCCTCTTCACTGATTCTTTGCAGTGTTCACATTATCAAAAGCTTCTCATTTCAATCACAATCAAAATGCCCCAAATCAAATGTGAAGGACAGTCAAAAATCTTTCCCACCAAAACTGGAACACTAATGCATTGTTGGTGGAGTTGTGAAATGATCCAACCATTTTGGAGAGCAATTTGAAACTATGCCCAAAGGGCTATAAAAATGTGCATATCCTTTGACCCACCAATAGCACTTCTAGGGCTGTAACCTAAAGAGATCATACAAATGGGAAAAGGATCCACGTGTACAGAAATATTTACAGCAGCTCTTTTTGTGGTGGCAAAGAATTGGAAATTGAGGCAGGATGCCCATCAATTGGGGAATGGCTGAACAAGTTGTGGTATACGAATGTAATGGAATACTACTATACTGTAAGAAATGATGAACAGGCTGATTTCAGAAAGACCTGGAAAGACTTGTATGCTCTGTTGCTGAGTGAAATAAGCAGAATCAGGAAAACGTTGTACACAGTAACAGCCACATTGTGCTATGACTAACATTGATAGACTTAACCCTTCTCAGCAATACAAGGATCTAAGACATCTCTAAAGGCCTCATGATGTAAAATGCTATCCACATCCAAAGAAAGAACTACGGAGTTTGAATGCAGAGCGGAGCATACTATTTGCTATTTTTTTTTCTCTTCTGTTGTGTTTTGTTTCTTCTTTCTGGTGGTTCCTCCTATTAGTTCTAATTCTTACTTATAACATCACTAATATGAAAATATGTTTAATAGGAATGTATATTTATAGCCTATATCAGATTGCTTGCCATCTTGGAGAGGGAGGTGGGAAGTGATTGTTGATAATTCAAAATAAATTAATTTTTAAAAAAAATCCTTCCCACCAGAAATCCGTACTGGGTTTTAGCATAGAAATCATGACTCTCAAGTTACAGAGCAAAGGAAGAACCCAGTAAATCTGAATATTTCCAGGCCTCACCCTTTGGGAAGTCACTTTCTACAAGCAGTGACTCAGGGAAGCTGTCTGTAGGAAGGATAAGGAGATGGTTTTCCCTGCTGATAATAAAGATGTGAAGTTCATCACACAAAACCCCTGCCATTAACAAGGCAAAGTAAGGAAGGTCATCCTTCCACACTTTCCAGACACACCCTTTAGGTTGTCCCTTTGTCACTTCTTTTCATTTTAAAACTACCTTTAACTTGTTTTAAAATGTTAAAAAGGAGAAGTGAGAGCACACTGATTTCCCCCAAATCATGCCTCACTGGGGATGGTTAGGTAGGTCAATCATTTAAGAAACCCAAGTTCTAAGGAACAACTACAAAAAAGATAGGACGGAAATCCATTTGGCATTAGGCCTGAGATCTGTACCTTGAGCCTGTTTATGGGTCAAGACAGCTTCTGTCCGCTGTACATGTCTCTTCAATAGCTGGGCAGTGCCAATTTGGCTAGACTTAGGGGCAGAGGTCACCGTTGCCATTTTGGTCTTGGGACTAGAGGTGGGGCTGCTAGACACACTTGATAGATCCTAAATGTGGTTAGAGAGATAAAGAAAAACATGTCATCTAGACTGAAATAATTCAATTCAATAACAAGTAATAGTGTTAGGTACTACGTAGGGCTTCTTAAACTTTTTCCACTCTAGACCCCTTCAGCACTTCTTAAACTATAGGTCATGACCCATATATGGGTATAAAGAAAGGCATAAAAACAGAAGAATGAAATTTCATGAGATTCCCTGGATTCACAAGCAGAAATTTTCTTTTTATGAATATGTAAAACCTGAAGCATTAAGAGATTCAAGAGATAAAGAGTTAAGGCTAGAAAAGAACCCAGAGGTCACAAATATAAGTCCTTCATTTTACAAATGAGAACTAAGGTCTCAATGTTTAGGTAATTTGCCCAAGATAATACAGGTCCTAAATGGTAAAGCCATGATTTGAACCAGCTTCCCCAACTCCAAATCCGGTGTTCTTTCCACTTTCCACCTTGCTGAGAACCAAACTTATCAATATGCTCTACCAATATGCTCCAGTCCCACTGCAGCCACATATAAACTATTATCCTTAAGGTGCATTACCTCAGAACCAGAAGGTGAAGCAGGACGCTTAGCAGCAGGAGAGGTAGGCCGGCTTCCCCGTTCAGGAAGTTCAAAAGCCAAATCTCGGCGCGCTGAATCACGAGGCTTCTTCTTCTTCTCAGCATCCTGATCTCGGGGCTCAGAGCCGCTGTGACCCTCAGCACGAGTGAGCACACCAGTCAGAAAGTCTGCAATCTCATCCTGGTTCAAACAGAAAATGACTATCTATCAGTGCCAATCAGTGTCAACCCTGGGGTACAATCTCAAGGCATTTTCAAACCAGTATCAACTCCATCCTGCTTTTGACATTAAAATGTCTTTCCCCTCCCCTGTGAAGCCTAACACAGTCTCTTCAGTCAGTCTACAAATGAATACTAAGACCAAGTAACAGGACCCCTGAGGGGCACCTGAAACTGACAGTACTCTACCACTTTCATCCACCTGAATTTTTTTCTTCCTCTTCAAGCTATTTTTCCTCCTTCTCTTCTTTATTCTTCCCATGACTATGCTTTGTATTTCCCAGTTGCCCCAACAGAAAAAACTTAGTACTGTGACATATAGAAGTTTCTGATCCCTCTACTGAACCAACCTCGAGAATATGATATGACAGGTATAGCAGAAAAAAAAGAACAAAACAACTGTGTTCACCTGGACACATCTGTCCACCATGCTCTGAGTCAGGCCTTCAGATTTCTTCTTTGCTTTGCTTATCCTAAGAGAAAGGAAGAAGGAAATCATATGAAGACATCATTCACTTAAAAAAAATTCTGCTGAAAGATATGGATTTTAGGGTTGATTTATTTTCTGCGCACAAGAAGCATAAGTTAGAAAAAAAAACAGGATAAATTTCTCTAAAAGACACACTCACAAAATTCTAGAGCTGAAACAGACCTTAGAGACCATCAAGTCCAACACCCTCAATTTACAGAGTAGGCAACTGAGACCCAGGACAGTGAAATGATGGCATGTGGTAGTGGAGGAACTGGAGCTCCAACCCAAGACTCCTAATTCCTAATCAAGTGCTCTGCCCACTCACAGTTCCACACTGCCTCCTAAAATATCCATCATAGAATTGAGAGCTAAAAGGAATCTTTAGCAACGCATCTCCTCCAAACCCCTCATTGTTCAATCTTTTTACAGTCATGATCCCATTTGAGATTTTCCAGGAAAAGATACTTAGAGTGATTTGCTATTTCCTTCTCCAGATCATTTTACCGACAAGGAAATTGAGGTAAACAGGGTTACATGACTTGCCCAGGGTCACACAGCTAGTAAGTGTCTGAGGCCAGATTTGAACTCAGGTCTTCCTGACTCCAGATCTGGCACTCTATCCACCAGGCCATCTACCTGCCCAACCTCCTCATTATGTATGAGGAAACTGAGACCCAGAGAGCAGACACTTAGAGGACATTTTCTTCCACCTCATTTGAACTACTCTTGCATGACTCTTTACGGTCCAACAGGAAGCAGCAAACACTCCTCAAATGTGCCCACCTGAGATTGTCATCAGCTCCCCCAACTACTACCATGCTGTTGTCAGCACGAATCTTCTCCCTAAAGTCCTCCATGGCCTCAGTATGACACTGTAGGGAGTTCTGGCCAATGACAAAGAGGACTGGAGTCTTCATATCCAGGAGAGGGTCATCCACATCCTGACAAGAGAAAAATCTTTAGGAGATATAACACATATTCAGTAAATGCCTACCTGGAAATCCACACAGAAAAGGAGATAGGTGTAAGAAAATTCCATTGGTTGAATGGCACATAGGAGGGAGACTACAGTGGTACCTGACTTTCTATTCCCATTCTAATAACTAGTCCATAATCTCAATCCTATCCTTACCCCTCTGGGCCCGTCCACTGTAAGCAGAGGAAATCCAAGGCAGACAACTGCAGTGACATACTCCATCACTGATACCTGAAAATAATACAATTGTTGATGTAAGGACTCATCTCCTTGCAGCTTTGGCCAGCCAAGAATCCTTTAAGTAACCCAATCTACCAATTAGTCCTAACCTCCAAAAGACCACTCTGATCTCTATGTCTTTTAGTCATGACATCATTGAGCATTACCTTTCACAAAGTAGGTATTTAATAAATGCTTGCTGAATTAAATAGTAAGGAATATAAGGCGTGTCATTTTGTAAACAGTCATGTAACCCAAAGACCTGGCCTTGAAGTGAACCTAGAAGAATAATGAGGCTATAAGTTCCACAGTCTTCTAATTCCCCAGAATAAAGTCCAGGCCTGCTCACTTCTTCCCCAGCTGTAAATGAAATCAGAACTCCAAAACAGAGTTAAAAAAAACTCTTTCAATCTTAAATCCAATATATGGCCCCCCATTACTTTCTCTTTCTCTGCAACACTCCTTTAATACTTCCTTTCCTCTTCTATACTAATTCTGAGATCACAGAATATAGAGATGAATCATTTCCTTCAGTCAGCCTAAATACTGGGTTCAAATTCAAAAACACATTTCACTAATTATATTCCTTTTACATTCCCGAGGGTAAAACTTTTTAGTATATCAGGCAAATCTATAAAAACCAATATCCAAATTTATGCCAGATAGCAAATATACCTCTAATTTTTATGAGAACCCAATAGGCAACACCAAAGACAAACATTTAAGATTGTAAATCATCCCAAATCTTTAGAGAATGACACTCAAAAAGGATGAGAAGTTACTTACGTGACAAGCCACCAAGGCTCCTGTATTCCAGCCAATCAAGATGATAGGTTTGTGGGGGAAATGATTGTGAATCTTTGAGAAAGAAAAGAGAAAATAGAGAGTAAGGCAAGCCCCTGGACGGGTACAGAGCCAGCCCAAGGCCTGCTATCATGCTACTGCAGAGAGATGAGAATATTCTTACCTCCAGTACTTTGCCTCGAACAGCTCCAATCATGTGCTCAAGACACTGAAGAACTCCTACTCCACTCCCATTGTTTAGGAGATGGGTGGCAATTGGGATGACCTACAGAAAATGAGGGCAACACAGTAATAAAGACTATATACAAATGCAAGTTTTGATGCTCCTTCTTCAATTCTTCTCAAAGCCTAGCCAAATCCTAACCTAAATCTCAACAATCTCCCACTGGCACTATTTCTATTTCCACATGAAATCAAAATAGAAGACCCCATTAAAGTCCAGATTTCTAGAAAATAGCTATCATCAAAAGCATTTTTCATCTCCCTCCCATCCCACCCCCCGCCTTTTTCTGCTTTATTCTTCAAAGATCTTATGTGCAAGGTCATCATTTCCAGCATATACCTTGCCCAAGCAGGAAAGCTGTGACTGCCAAAAGCGGTGTCTTCGAGAGGTAGGGAACATGGAGCTCGAGGGACCAGAGGAGGCTATAAGAATCAGTGGAGATCCAGGGAGCTTGCTCTAAGGAGAAAGAACCCCACCCACTCATAGATAAGTAAAAGTTGTTGCCCTTTCAAGTCTCAAGGTTTCCATTTTCCCCCTGTTTTAATAAATGGACAATTTATTTGATGGTATTGCTAGACAGATTAAATAGACACAATTCCTGAAGTTTACTATCTAAATTTTGTAATTTTCTCACCACAGAACTGGGCTCTATAAAGGATAAAATAAGTCCTCAGGGCAGCTGCTGTGTCAGTTTTCTTTATTTTATTTGGTACAAGAGGATTGAGGAGGAAGTGATGGCCATGGAGGGAGGATTAATGGGAAATGACTGCAGTGTAAGAAAACAAAAGGCATCAATAAAACTTTAAAAATAAGTAACTGGTTATCCAGCTTACTGGTTTGTTATGAGAAAGCACTCCTACAGCAGGGTCCCAGGGCCTTTTAAGCAGGAGAGACAAAGCTTCAGCTCCTGCTGCACCAGTCTTTGTGGTAGATGACATCAACATCCGGTCAATCAAAGTTGGTATCTAAAAGAAAAGACCAAAAAGAAATGTTAGTATTGTGTAAGTGGGAGGCCTCTCACCAGCTGACAGGATGCTGAAGCCCTGCTGTCTGAAACAGACCTCAGCTTCTCAGACATTTTAATCTAATATTATCTGCACCTAGGCCTCCTTTAAGAACAAAGTATGTAGACCACCAGCTACACTCTGTGACTGACATAAAATGCTGTTACTCCTATGGTAAAATAGCCTACTCTCAAATACATATTATGGTTTCAACTGTGGCCTATTTTATTGTAAACTCAAAAGGTGGCCTTATACCTATATAAATGTAGGCTCCAGCTATCCTAATGTCTGCAGTAAAATGACTGAAATGCAGAAGCGGATTGTAATAATTTCCATGCCACCCATGAAGGTCAATGATTCACATGGTAGACAAGACAAAAGGTAAACAGCTTTTAGAGAAACAAGATTTTGAAAATACTAAAGAAACTGGAGAATAGAAAACAGAATGATCTGACACAGGGTCAAGAAAAGGAAGAAAAGCTCAAGGAAAATGATCAGAAACTGTGCACCCAGAAAAGACTGATTCACAGAGATCAGAGGAGTAATGCTACATAGGATATCAAGGAATTAACTGGTGTATAAAATGGTCGGAGTTTAACAGCCAGGTCTTCTGAAAAACAAGACAGAAAGGACCTCACTTCCTCAGTGACCAGAAGAGATAAAAGAATTACTTTAACTGTACTGGCGGCAGAAGCCAAGAGAAATGAAACCGGCAATGACTGACTATAGAAGCTCAACTGATGTATTAAAGCTGACTAAAACAAATTAAAATGAAAAGCAGCATCAGGTAGGCATAATGAACACGGATTTTAGAGTCCAAAGACCTAGGTTCTAGAGCTTGGTACAGCCATCTTCTAGCCACGTAACTATGAACAAGTCAGAACCTCTCAAAAACTCTTATTTATTAGAATTCTTCATCTATAAAATAGGAGGCAGCAAGGTAGAATGGGAAAGGCAAAAGATAGAATCAGGAAAATCTGAGTTTAAATCCGGCTTCAGACACTTGTTAAATGTATAACTTCAAGCATGTCATTTAACTTCTCTGTGCCTCAGTTTCTTTATCTATAAAAGGAGGGAGGGGAGAACCCCGGACTGTTTAGCCTCTAAGATCTATTCCAAGTCTAAATCTATGATCCTATGAAAATAATATCTACACTCTAATATTTGGTTCATAAGATTGTAAGAAAAGTCCTTTATAACATAACCCTTAAAGCAAGAGATAAATATATTATTTCTATTTAAGTAATTCAACTGTATACATGTACCTTTATAGTTTTTACCAAGAGATTTTTTTAACATTGTACTAATTTTGCTCCCTAATTGACCAAGCATGTATTATACTGAGAAAATAAAAAAATAAAAAGGGTACCAGGAAGAAGAGGAAAGACCAAAAGACCATCAACCCACTAATGTTTTAACTAAACATCCTAAGTATTCTAATATACATACTACCTAACAAAAATAAAGATGGCAGCTAGGTGACACAGTAGACAGAGCGCCAGGCCTGGATTCAGGAGGGCTGAAGTTCTCCAGCCTCAGACACTTACTAGCTGTATCACCCTGGGCAAGTCATTTAACCCTGTTTGCCTCAGTTTCCTCATCTGTAAAATGAGCTGGAGAAGGAAAAGGCAAAGCACTCCAGAATCTTTGCCATGAAACCTCAAACAGGGTCATGAAAAGTCAGCTACAACTGAACAACAGCACTCAACAAAAATACAGACTAAATTCAAAGTATACTCCCTGTGAGTGATAAACAAGGATTTGCCTTTTCAGAACTGGCAGGCAGAGAAGATGGATATAAATCCGGGCTTTCTCAGACCCCAAATTGAGCTCCCCCTTTGTTACTTAGATTTTAGCAAAGCATATGACAAGGTTTCTTCCTCTTAGTCTCCCTGAAATTATAACATGGAAAGTATAAAGGCTGTTCTAGTTAACTCTGATAACCTAGAAAGATGATTAGGGTCTCCCTCATCTCTCTTGCTATGTTCCACACTAAGAAGCCTTTTTTTTCTGATCTAGCCTAAGTTTAATCCACTTCAAAAATCTAGGACTTTTCCACGGGCAAACAGTATGCAGCTGTCCTTGCATGGCACAGTTTATAATAATAAATGATACTGACATAGAGCTTTAAAGCTTGCTACATGCTTTATATGCATTATTTCATGTGTCCTCTCACTTGCTGCCTAGGTTACTGCAACAGCTTCCTAACAGGTCTCTGTACACCTTAGCCTCTTTATGTTTCAGTATATCCTCCATGCTGGTGCCAGTTATTTTCCTTGAATAAAGATCTGACCATGTTGCTTCCTGACTAGATCAGTAGCTCCCTATTGTCTCTAGAATCAAATATAAACTACTCTGTTTAGCTCCACAATCTGGCACCATCTCACTAGCCTTGTTGTACACAATCTCCCCTCTCACATGTTTTGATACAGCCAAACTTCTCTTGCCTCCTCACACACTTTCTTTCCCATCTCTAGGCTTTGCACAGGCAGTCTCTTAGGCCTGGAAAGCACTCCCTCTCTGCTTCCACAGGAATTCCAGAATTCCTGTCTTGCTTCAGGCACCACCTTCAAGCCTTTCTTGACCCCCTCAACTGCCAGTGCCCTCCCTCTCAAACTATGTATTCAATTATTTTGTACTTATTTGTATGTATTCTCTTTATATTTAATGTGAATAAATTTATGTCCTTGTTGTCTCCTGTTAGAATGTAAGCTCTTTGTGCCTAGGGATTGCACCAGTCACTGTATTTATCCCTATCACCGCATTGGGTACATACGAGGACTTTAATAACTACCTGCTGATTGAGCTTCAGTTTCCTTATTTGTAAAATAAGAAGGTTGCCCTCAGTCTATGATCCTATGATACGTACAACAGCCCTGTGAGGTAGATGGTGACAGTCCACAGACGATAAAACTGAGGGTCAGAAAGGTTAAACAACCTGATCATGGTCACAAAGAAAGTAAATGTTAAGATGGCATTTGAACCCAGGTCTTCCTAACTCCAAGTTCATAACTCTTTCCACTACTCTATGCTACCTCTCAATCCTATTTCTTTATAGTCCGTTAGTTCACATAGTCAAAAGACAAAGTGTTTCTCCTGCTTTTGAGAATATTCATCATATATGCAAGGCTTCTGATTTTTGGAAGCAGGAGTCAAAGGAGCTTTTAAGTAAGCATTATAAAGACAGTAAACTTTTAATGAAAAACTAATTATTGAAGTGATTAAAGCTGAGTGGTTTCACAGACCACAATGCTGATTTACACATGACTTCTATTTTAAATTTGCCAATCTGATGGAAATGTCTTGTTTTCTTCTTCTCTAGTCTGTACAGCAACCTGAAGATCAGAGGAGTGATAAAAGACTCATATCTTCTTAGAGATAGTCTGGATCATTCCTTTTTCAAATTCTGAAAGAACAAGGTAGAACTCTAATAAAGTGAATAACTTTAATAAGTGACACTAACCGGCCTTGGGGCAAAACTGAGTTTGGAGGTCAGGCTCTGTAGATCAGGGCACAGAAAAGATGTTTACTGAAGCAGCTGTGAGGAATCTATCCCATCCCATCTCTCTTCCCTACCCACACTAGATCCCAATCTGGACAGCAAACCTTATCTGCTTATCTTTCCCCTAACAACTAAGGTCAAGAAAAACTGAATCAAATACCATCTCTTCTACCCACACACTCCTCAACCTCCACCACTTTTTTTTTGCTCTTTTCCTTCAAGACACAATTCAAATATCCTATCTTCCACTTGAAGCCTTTCCTGATTCTGCTAGTGCCCTCTCTCTTAAAATACTTTAACTACGTTTTATTTATGTTTATATATGGTGTCCCCAAAGTCTTAATGCAGCTTTAAACTATCAAAGCTTAAAACTGCTCTAAAATTTTCAGGACATCCTGTACTTACTCTACATATTTTTATTTTGTATACGCTTATCTATATTTATGGTATCCCCCAAGAGAACTTAAACTCCTTGAGAGGAGAAACTATTTCATTCTTTGGATGCGCATCCCCAGCAACAAGCACAATATCTGTCACACAGTAGAAGCTTAATAAGTAATTGTTGATTGACGGATAGAATCATACATACCAAGCTGGAAAGGCTTTCAGAAGCCATCTAGTTAAACACATTCATTTCACCAAACAATAACTGAGACCTAGACAGGTTAAATGATTTGCCCAGGATCACATAGATAGTGACAGATGCACAATTTGAACTAAGAGGTCTTGATTCCAAAGCCAGATATACTTAACTTTTAAGAAATCACTTATCCAGCACTATCAACTACCTACAATAGAGCAAAAAAAATTTTAAAAAAACAAAAAAATAATAAAAAAGAGGGAAAAGGTCTCTAAGGAAATCAAACCAGAAGTAACAATCCATAAATTCAAGTTCATAGTAGAGCTCCTCAGACAATTCTAATATTCTTTGTTATCTGCTCCATCAGGCCATAAAGATTAGAACCAACAACTTAAGAGGATTGAGCAGCTTTGCCCAAAATAAGGATGGTAACACTAAACAGTAAGTTGACAGCTGACAGACTGACAGTGAAAGAAATAGGGAAAAAAATACAAAAGGCACATAAAAACACAAAAAAGCCTGGCTACAACTGGCACCACCTACTGAAGGAACAAAAAAGTTTCTAATCCTCAGACAGCCTCCTAACATCAGAGTACACAACAGCACCTCAGATTCATCACTGACAGCTGCATTATCCCCAAAAAGTCATATGGCCATTCAAGGTCTTCCATGATCCTTCCAGGCTTTTCTCCTACTCTTTCCCTACATAAACCTGATGTCATAGCCAAAGTGATAAATTCATTGTCTACAAGAGTCTTTCCATTTCACATCATTCTGCTTGCCCAAACTGCACCTTAGTCGCACACAACCCACCACCTCTATCTCTCAAACTGCTACCTATCCTTTAAGGCCCAATTCAAATGCTACTCTGACCTGATCACCATATGAAGAAGTCTTCAACCTCTTCATCCGATTCCTTTAGCACCACATACTTGTACTATTTATCAGAAACTGCCTGGTATTGAGGTTATCTGTAAACATGTCTCCTCTATAAAACTATAAACTCCCTGAGGGCAAAGGCTCTATCTTATTTCTAAATTCCCAAGGCCTAGCACAGTCCCCATACATAGTAAACATTTGGAGTACGTTAAATGAATATACGCATCAAGAAGGTACTGGGTAGAATTTATTATTTACTTTTCAAAGAATGCAATAGCACAAAATGAAGATTCACAGTTTCATACAGAATCCTATTTTCGTGTTATATGGTGTATATGAAAATACTTTTCTGGCGTCAAAAGTTTAGAATTTTAAAAAAAGAAATCAATAGGGAAAAAAATTAAAATAATCAGTAAACTATGTTTAAAAGACAGTGGAATAATTTTGATAACAGAGAACAGACGAAATGCATCTCCCTCCTTTCAGTAGAGACGTAGAAGACTATTTCAAACACTCTCAGATTCATTCCCTTTGTCTTAGTTATTTTTCTTTGTTACAAGGGAAGTCTCAATGGGTGGGGCTATAATCTAGAAATGACAAAAGGCATTAAACTTTTTAAAATAAATTAAATTCTAAAATTACTTTGTCTTGGAAAAGTAACTTTATAAAACTTCAAAATTTTTAAACTCTATTGAATACAGGGAAGTACATAATACATTTTAGAAAATGTCCATCTCGGGGCAGTTAGGTGGCGCAGTGGATAGAACACCGCCCCTGAAATCAGGAGGACCTGAGTTCAAATCCGGTGTCAGACCAAACACCTGAAGCTTACTAGCTGTGTGACCCTGGGCAAGTCACTTAACCCCAACTGCCTAAAAAGAAAAAAAGAAAAAGAAAAAAAAGTCCATTTTTTTCAAAAGGGGACCCTTTAAAGGGGAACACCAGTTATGTGAAAACTCACTTATAAAGACTAGCTCATTTTCTCACAATGTAGGCTATTACTGTATTTTTTAAAATTATGCTTATATATTGCAGCCTAAGGTCAGAAAGCCCTATTTAACAATATATGCTTGCCTGGTATTTCTCCCTGGTAAATATTTCATCTCCTCTGAGGTAAACTAATTTTCACCACGTTCACCTTACCTCAGGGTGACAAGTCTGAGTTTTCAAAAGCCGAAAAACACATGACAATTTTCAACACCTACACCTCACCCTAGAGGCAAAAATGACAGAAACATTTAAGTGAAAAGAAAACAGGAAATAAGGAGAGGCACATATAAAGGGAAGGCTTTTCCTGCTCAACTTCTTTCCTGCTCTGGACAAAAATCCTTCCTTTTTTCATTTACCTGAAGCTCTCTTTATGACCTTTCAAATAGCACAACCGGGCAATGACCACCCCCTAACAGACCAGTGACCTCTGCTTCCAGTAGTGAAGCAAACCAAATTAGTATCCTTACCTTCCCTTTCAATGTCTGCAATGCATCAAGGTATGCTGCTAACATAGGTAGGCTCAGGGTTTCCACCAACGTTGTATGCAACCACTGGACAAGTTTAATGTCCCAACTCACACTTGCCAGTGCCTGACGAACTCTTCTTGCACACTTATCCACAGCAATTCGCCGCAGCACAGGTTCATTGCAAGCCTAGAAGACAATAGTGTGGGTTACAGCTATAAAGAGGTGAAGTGAACCATCACGTTTTATTAACCAACCCTACGGGCATGGCTCTCTACAGCATGGATGGGGATGTCACACCTGGTTTATCTCACCCTATAAAAGATAAATGCTCAAAAAGTTTTGAGAACCAAAAAATAATAATGAGGAGCAAGCTTTGTAAAATTCCACCTTAGCTACTGTCAATACTAACTGAAAGGTGTTAAAAGTATACAGGGCTCAGCCTATCAAACTTACCCCTTCATTGGCTAGCCGGGCCAGCCGGTCAGACTGCAAGGCTTTGAGAATTTTGTTGAATAGTTTGTTCTGGGCAACCGTCCAACCAGTTCTGGAGAAGAAATTGCAAAGAATTCAAGTCAGATTTCTATGGTCTCCCACACTCTTTGAAGATGACCTGATAACATAATAACCCCTGTTTCCACTATAAGACTGTATAATTAGAAATGGCATATAATCCACCAAGCACTTATTAAGCACCTGCTATGTATAAAGTACTATGCTGGACACTGGGGATGTGAATACAAAACAAAAAACAGTCCCTACCTTCAAGAAACTTACAATCTATTGAGGGAATACAAAGGATACAAAGGATAAGCATATTCACAATAATTTGAAGAGAAAGGAGAATAAAGTAACAAGAGGATCAAGAAAGGATTACCACAGGATAGCAGAAGCTGATCCTTGAAGGAAGCTAAGGATTTCAAATAGTGGAGGTGAATAGGAAGATCATTCCAGGCATGGAGGAAAGTCTATGCAAAAGGACAGGAACAGAAGATGGAATGTTGTGCATGGGGAACAAATAGTAAGTAAGCCTGTTTGGCTGAAATACAGAGTATGACAAGGAGAGTAATCTGAAGTAAGTCTGGAAAGACAGGTGGGAAGCAGGCTGTGGTGAGCTTTAAACGCTAAACAGAGAAGTTTTATTTTATTCTACATGTAATAGGGAGCCAGAGGAGTGACATGGTCAATCTTGTGCTTTAGGAATATATATCTGGCAGCTGTGTGGAGGATATATTTGAAGGAAAAGACTTGAGACAGGAAGAACAGTTGGGAGACTACTGAAATAGCAAATGCATAAGATGATGACAGCCCGAAACAAAACAATGATCAAGTAAGTAGAAAGAAGGGAATAGATTCAGGAGATGTTGTAGAAAACAATAAGTCTGACTTGGTAACTGATTGGATTGGGCGGGGGGGGGCCCCCGCAAGGTTGAGGAGAGTGAAGAACAGAGAATGACTATGACACTGAACTGAACAATTAGAAGGATGGTGGTGCTCTCGAGAAAAACAGGGAGGTCAGGAGGAAGGGTATGTTTAGATGCTTTAAAGAGAAAGATAATAAGGTCCGGTTGGGATCTGTTGATGGAACAGCCAAGGCATCCAGCAGGCAGTTGTGAAACTGAATCTCAGAAGATGTGTGAGACATGTAACTTTGGAAGTTGTCTGCTTAGAAATGAAAACTGCATCTACAAGAACTGAAGAGATCATCAAGAGAGAATATAAGAAGAGAAGAATGCCCAAGACAAAGCCTTAGGACACACACATACAACTGGGAGGAGGAAAGGACATGCATGGTAATAAAAACACAGAGAAGGATTCATACAACTAGGAGAACTAAAAGAGAACAAAGTCATAAAAACCAAGTGAAGAGAGAGCATCCAAGAGGAGGTTGCCAATAGTATCAAATACTACAGTGTTCAAGAAAAATGAAAGGATGAGGATCAAAAACAGGCCATCAGATTTAGCAATTAAGAGATTGGAAAAAGTAGTTTCAGTGAAATGGAGAGGTCAGAAGCCAGGTTTCAAAGGGCTGAAAGGTAGGAGGAAAGGAAAAAGAAGCAATGGATGTAAACAGTTTTTTCTATAAAGGCAGAAGAGATATAAAATGATAGCTTAAGGGTGTTTTTCTTTTAATTGATGGAATGTTCATAGGCAGCAAGGAAAAAGCCAATAGTTGGGAAAGATTAAAGATACCAGAAAACAACAAGATGATTTAAGAAGATGAGCTGATAAGAAACAAGAGAAGAATGGACTAAGGGCACAAGTGGAAGACAAGAAACCCCAGTTGACTCAACCCACAGGAAATCCCATCCCTTTCTCAGCACAAGCTATATGAATAATAATTATGGTAATTATGACTCAAATATATAAAGTATTTTTTAAGGTTTGCAAAACATTTTACTCATTAACAGCCCAGTGAGGTACATAATGAAGGGATTATAATCCCATTTTATGGAAGGAGAAACAAGACAGAGGATTAAGTGATTCACCCAAGGTTAAATAGCCATTGTCAAGAGTTGAACATCTGTTTCTCTGATTATGATCCTGTATCAGTATTCTTTCCATTACACCAGTCTCTCATTACAAACCACAACATAAGTCAAGAGAAAAGTCATAAACTCTATTTCTGTTTATGCTCACAAAATCAAAGCTAGTCATTTCAGTTAAAGTTATTCTCTTCATTATGCCATTAGTGAAAGTGTATTTGCAGCTCCTAATCTCCACAGCAACTAGTGCTGTTTCCTAGTAACTGTGTATTTACTTCATATATATATATATATAAAATATATAATATATATACACATATATATATACTTTATATTTACTGAGTGTATTTCCTGCCTATACCTATGTTTGTGTATGCTATTTCCCACAATAAAATTTAAGCTTCTTGATTGCATAGAACAAAGGAAAGAAACAAGCATTTATTAAGCTCCTACTGCATGCTAGGCACTATGTTTAGTGCTTTACAAATATTATCTTATTTAATCCTCACAACAATCCTGTCCTGTAGGTGCTATTATTTTTGATTCTTATAACAACTCTGTGAGGTGGGTGTTAGTATTATCCCCCATTTTACAGATAAAGAAACTGAGAAAAAGATTCAAAGTCAGTTCTTTTGGCTCCAAGTCCAACATTTTTTCCACTACATGAACTAGAAGCTTCTAGATATGTAGGAACTAATTTTAAAAATAAGAACAAAAGCCATTATCCAAAAGATAAATGGTCAAAGGATACAAGCAAGCAGTCCTCAGAGGAAGAAAAACAAGTTATCAACAACTACACAAAAAAAATTATCCAAATTACAAATAAGGTAAATTCAAATTAAAACAACTCAGGTCCCATCTTATAGTCACCAGGTGGGCAAAGATAACAAAAGAGAAAAGTGACAATCGTTGGAGGGGATGCAGGAGAACAAACAGAACACCAGTGTACTGGTTCAGTCATTCTGGAAAGCCTTTTACTTCCTTTCTTTATTTTGTATTCAAGTAGACTGTATTATTTTGATCACTATTTGTGATTTTTTAACCTTTTGATGACTACTCATTTAAGGCTTTTACCAAAGTAGACAAGCATAAAATTAATTTTCAACAGGGGTTTGCTAAAACCTGGAAACTATGAAGCCTAATAACATGTAAAGGAGCTGGTGCTAGTTCACTGCTTTGGTAATTAATTCTGTAACCTCATATAGTGAATTGCCTGGGACACTGATAAGTAAAGTAATATGCCCAGAGTTACGTGGCCAATAAGCTAATATGCATCTGCGGCAAGACTTGAACACAGGTCTTCTGCCTAAGGTTATAAGATACACCATTTTATTTTCCTCGAGATAAGTCTCACTGCTTCACATTTCTGAATTTGGTACAGACTTCCTTTCAAAAACAGAGAACTAGAATCTGATATTTCTTTAAGATGCTACAAAATATTGTTTTCAATTTATCTTACCCTTTATTATATGACAGGATGTTTTCCTTATCTGCTTTTCTTGTTACTATATTTATTCTGAAACCCAAATTGGTAAGGGATAGAAATGATACAGACATTGGAGAAGAAAAAAAACCCAACTACCTAGAAATTACTATCATACTCTAATGACAGCTGAGATCATATTAAAAGCCACAATGCTGACATGCCAAAAACCAAGAAAAGATTTTAAGGCTGTTGCTGGACGTATGCCAAAATGGTTCCAACAACTAAGATAACTGTTCAATGTTTTGTGTCAGCTCTATGGGAGGTCTACAAAAATTAAAATGGAACAAGAAAAATATGATCTAACCCAAGGATCAAGATAAACAGTGCCTGAGAGATATAATTAAAGAAATTTTAAAAGAGGAGACAGAATTTTAACTACAAGTCTGTAGGGTAGGATAAGCCTCACTGGGCTTTGCTGATGGTGACTGTGGTGAACTGAACTGGCTCCCCTCCCAAATGTTCCCCACCAATTCAATTTTAAACAGGGAAATGATGTCTCTTCTTGATTTCTCAGACCAGACACCAAGACTAGGAACCCATCTTCCCTCAAGCTTTGAGTAAGCCCAGATGAGACATTCGGGGGGGAAAAGGGAGGAGGCAGTGTTCATTGTTTATGCTGACCTCTGCCCTACGCCAATTCCCACACTCTCAGTCTTGGAGAAGCCTCAAATTAGTGAGCATGGCAATGCATCCTTGGGTATCACATTACACAGAATCTATTTTATGTGAAAATACCTAAAAGACTTAAAATTCTAAAAGACACAGACATTGTTATGGTCATAATTCTCTCTTCCTTAGAAAATTTTAAAACACCTATGTTTGAACATTAACAAAATTACAAGTCTCCTGGAATCTATTAAATCCCTTTATTTAAAAAAAAAAGGTGGGGAGCAGGGTGGATACCTCAAGGATTCAATCACCCGACATGAGATGTTTCTATTTTATTCAGCCTTATAAATATCCAGGTACACTCACAGCTAGAACATATGCTTCTGACACACACCCAATTCTTAAGGAATTTCAAAATTAAAATGAGGTGTGCAAAATCTTAGGAAACAATGTTCATCATGTATTCTGACTTTGTTATTATGACTTATATTCAAGTAAATATAGAGGTTCAATTAGAAAACCTATTAAAAGTGTCAAGTGATTAATTCTTAATTTATCTTGCCTTTCTGATGTTTCTATAGTTCCTATGCTCTTCTTTAGCTATAAGATAAATTATAATTAAAGGCAATTAGGTGGCACAATGAATAGAGCACTGGGCCTAGAGTAAGGAAGACTCAAGTTCAAATCCAGCCTCCAATATTTCCTAGCTATGTAACTCTGGAATAGTCATTTAAACACTGTCTAACTCAGTTTTCATAACTGTAAAGTATTGATAAAAATAGCACCTATCTCACAGGATTGCTGTGAAGATTAAATAAGATAACTGGAAAGTTCTTAGGTAGGGAAGTGTCTGGTACATAGCAGGCACTTAATAAATCCTTGTTCTCTGCACCCTTACATGTAGTTTAATACTATAATAACGATGTTTTGGTCCAGTTCTAACAATGAAATGCCACTGAGGGTACTCTATTAACAACTCTGGTCAATACATATTCTCCTGAATAAGCTCCAAATATATGGAACTGAATTATCTCACCAAGCAGAAACACTGAAATTTTAGCTGAAGAACAGCAAGTGTTTGAGGATGGATAATCACGTAACAAAAATATTCCTTGTAAAATGGAACTTTTCCTTATCTATTTAGAAGGAACAAATTAACAGCCTGCTGAATTGTGCAAACATTGTACTGATGGACTGAGATAGTCTATGACAAGACAGCTTGCTCACAAACCATTTTGAGTATTTACTAAATGATGAGCACAATAAAGCACTGTTAGTGGAGCTGTGAGTTGGTCCAGCCATTCTGGTAAGCACTTTGGAAATATGATCAAAAGGTCACTAAATTGTACCTCTGACATAGTGACACCACTACTAGGTCTATTCCCCAAAGAGATCAAAGAAAGGGGAAAAGGACCCATATGTACAAGAATATTTATAGCAGTTATTTTTGTAGAGGCAAAGAACTGAAACTAAGGGGATATTCATCAATTAGGAAATGGCTAAACAAATTATGGTATATGAATGTAATGGAGTGATGAAGGCAATGGTTTCAGAGAAATTTAGAAAGATTTATATGAACTGATGCAGAGAGAAGTAAACATAATTAGAACAATTTATACAATAACACCACTGTAAAGACAAATAACTTTAAAAGAACTTTAAAAGAACTCTGATGCAATACCCAATCAAGTCTGCAGAGGACCTATAATGAAGCATGTTACCCACCTCCTGAATGAGACAAGACAGACTCAAGGTGAAAAAAGAGACATATTTCAGGATATGGCCACTGGGTGGATTTGTTTTGTTTGACTGGTTATTGATTACAAGTGTTCTTTAGAAGGAACATTTCTAAGTATTTGAGTTTTTTCCTTCTCCAATATCTATATTCCAACCCTTTTTTCCTTTTTATTTATTTAGGGAGAAAGGGGTAGTGGGAAGAAGCAATAGTGATGACAAAAAAAAGTGGTCTGTTAAAGCATTTTTTTAAATGCACAGAGGAAAACAGAAGTTCAAAAGGAAATACAAGCACTGCTCAGGAAAGAACAAGCTAACGTGTGGGAAAAAAACTAAAATGAAATGGAAATTTACATTCAAGCAATTTTTATACAAGTATTATATTAATGTTCAAAAAGTTAACTTCATAAGAATTAGATGAGGGAAAGATAGCTAGCCAACAGTTTACTGAAAAAGATCTATATGTTTTAGTAGACTACAAGCTCAATATAAGTCCAAAATGTGACATGGTAATTCCACGTAATCTAATATAACATTAGGCTGCAACAAGAAGCAAGATGACCAGAACCAAGAAGGCATTAGTACCACCGTATTCTGGCCTGCTCAGACCATATATGGAATATTTTTTAGCTTGCGGCACCACGTTTTAGGAAAAACTTTGATAAACTGGTAAGCATTCAAAGCACTGGGAAATGCCTTGAGTCCATAGCATATGAGAATCAGAAAAAAGAACTAAGGATGTTTAGTTTGGAAAGGACAAGATTGGGGAGGGGAAGAAAGGGAGAAGATAATAAATATTCATTCAACAAATATTTATTAAGTATCCACGACATGCCAAGCACTCTGCAAGGCAATGAGAATACAAAGACAAAAACAAATCAGTGCCTCAAGAAGTTTTTCATCCTATGCAGATCAAAGCATACTATTTGCTATTTTTTTCTTCTGTTTTGTTTTCTCTTTCTAGCGCTTCCTCCCATTGGTTCTAATTTTTCCTTACAACACCTCTAATGTGAAAATATGTTTAATAGGAATGTATATGTATAAGCTATATCAGACTGCTCGCCATCACAGGGAGGGAGGTGGAGAGGGGAGAAAAATTTAAAATTCAAAAGCTTATGGAAATGACTGCTGATAAATCAAAATAATAAATTTTTTTTTAAGTTTTCATTCTAGTGAGGGAAAAAACATGTATATATACATACATGCTTACATGTATATTTATATGTGTATATATGTAAGCATGTGTATATTCAGAAATACTTTTGAATTCTTATACACACATGGATAAGTAAAATGACTGATATACACATACATACATATACACAAATTAATTACTAAATTAATTAAATACTAAATTTCAAGGGAAAGGTACTAGCTACTGGGGGATGAAGAAGGGCCTCATTTAGAACTCCATTTGAGCTGGACTTTGAGGAATGAGAAGAAGGGCATTCTAAGCATGGGGAACAAACAGCCTAAAGACACAGAGGCAGGAGACAGAACGTCTCATGTGGCGAACAGCAAGTAGGCTAGTTTAGTTAAGGTACAGAATTCATGAAGGTAAGTAACGTAATAAGTTTGGAAAGGGAGGCTGAAGTCAGATCATGAAGTCTTTTAAATGCCAAACAGAGGAGTTAGTATTTGATCCAAGAGATCTTGGAAAAAAGAGTATTCCCCCTCATTGCAGATTTTTCAAGCAAAAACTAGATAACCCCTAGTCAGATTATGCTGTAGGGGATATTCTGTTCATTTATGGTTAGATTAGAATCTAGTCACTAGAGGATCTATAACGTCCCTTCCAACTTTGAGATTCTGAAAAAGTTTACAAAACTGCTTTCCTTAGTACCCTCTAAAGTACTCTAAGGCCAACACACTTCCCAAACTTAATGACGAAGCTCTGCTTTGTATGGCTATGGGATTCCCTTCATTTGTTCACCACCTAGATTTCTAAATGATGGTAAATTCTTAATCTTACATATTTATATGCAAATTTAATGTTTTATTATTCTACAATCTGTATGTCTTCTAAATGTTTATCTGAATTGATATATTTATCTTAATAGCAGTTTATATGATGTTTTACCATTTGCAGAGTATTTTATATACAGTTTATCTCATTTGATCCTCATAATTCAGTGAGGTACAATTACCCCCATTTTAAGGGTATTAAAGCTTTACATACATTATCTCATTTGATCCCCACACCTTGTGAGGTAAACACTACTTCTATTTCTACAGATGAAGAAACTAAGGCTCAGAGAAATTAAATGACTTGCCTGAGGACAGAGTTGATGGCCAAACTTAGAACTGCACCCAAATCTTATGACTCCAAGTATTCTGTCTGCCATATCATATCCCTAGGACGTCTGCCTAACTCAACCTGAACTACATGGCACCATTTGCAAACAAGTTTTCGATTTATGTTTTAGAATACAAGGATGAGATGATGATAAAAATAAATACTGATTCAGAAACTGTGACCATCATCCCATGGGATTCAATGTCCCTGAGGAGGCCTACCTGTTGACATGCTCCTCCCAATCCTCAGGGGGGGGTGGAGCATCTGCATCAGTCCGGGCAAAGATGACATGGCGTTCACACTCATTCATCACACTTCGTGCCTTCTGGTTGTCATAGAGTGGCACCGGGGTAGACGTGACAGTTTCCACATCAATAGGGATGTCTGCCTCACTACAAATAAAAAGAGTATAATCAGACCACAACTATTTTGCTTAATTGGTACATGTGCTTAATTTTTGTTCAATTGCCTATATATTCCTTTCATACAGTCAGTTCTCAATTATCCAACTGCATGTCATCCACATAAAATTTCTTATTCAGAAAAGTCTCGGCACATGCCATTGCCCTGATGGTATGTGCACAAGGAACAAATTAATTTTAATACTGTCCAAAGCAAAACAATTAGAAAGGTAAACATACTACAAAAGTCATAAATATTATTCAAGTGTAAATATGAATATTTTAACTTCCAGTTTTTTAATGAATGAGAAGTGCTCCCTTTCAGGGCCATAAATAGTAGATAAATATTTAGGAGCTCCCTTAATCTCAGGAAACTCCCTGTGTCAGGAGCAATGTCTTACCCCACTCTCCTTGTCCCCCAAGCAAGTCAGCCTAGTTTTTCCTAAAAAGGTACTGAAACATTCCTAGAGACTTTGTTTTAGGAGACCAAGAATGCAGACTTCCGACATCATTTCCTCAATGCCTAAATACGAAGTAGTCATGAGGAGTTGGGAGGGACCCTCAGATGCCTGAGTGGGGACACAATGGGACTTTCCCTCAGCTGAATCAAGAGGTGTTCTTAATGCCTAATCTTGTTGAACATCCTTTTTTTGCTATGGCTGAGCAAATCTACTTTTGTTAACTGTTAAAGAGGCATGGTGAGTGTCTTATTTTGTTCCAATATCTAACCTAAATTAACAAGGGATTGGCCTGAGTTAGGCCCAGCCTATAACAACTCCCCATCTCAAATTTCACTGAAACTAAAATAAAAATAAAGTAAAATCAGCTATGATCCAATTAATTATAATATGCCAGAAGTAATGGTGTCATAACAGAAGAGTGGTGATCTTCAGGACTCTAGAAAAGCAAAGTCAAACAGTAAGAATCTGTCGTGTATATCCAGCACCGGCTAAAGAAAAGAGACAACAAACCTTGCAACCATGAGTATTCTGGTTACAGAAAAAATGTGTATTCTATAGTGAATGAGGAATAATTCTAGCTCTACAACCTTCAAAATTATCCAATTCCCTTTGCTCTGATTCCTTTATTTTTCACAAATACTTTGAAACTTAGAAGCTGGGGGGGGAGAAGGTAGTTGTCCCTGGATTATTATGGATTATTATTAATTATTATTATTAGGACAATCATGCAAGCCCCTGAAAGAGTATAGCCACTATACTAAAAAAAAATTGACATTTTGATGCATTAAATAGCACTTTGTTAAAATTTCCAGAGCCTCATGTCCCCTGCAAGGATTGGTAAAATTATTTCCTGAACACGCAAAGCTGAGCACCAGACATTAGACCTGTGGCAGACACCAGAATAAACACCCAACTAGTTGATTTTTCTCCCTATTCTGTTCCTCTATATCATTCTAACTCTAACCCTCATTTTCAAACTATCTACTGATTTTGCTCTCCTTTGGAACTTATTTCCCCCAACCCCAAAATCAAATATCAATACTGTTTTCCACAATATATCTCTCTTGAGTGGATATGGATTCTGACAGAAACATATGTACTTTATGAAGGTATTCAGATATAAATTCTCCACTAAGGCCAAGAGGGTCCAAGTCTTTATGATACTTAACATGTGCTCAGTATATATTCATTTTGTACTATTAGCAGTGGTGGATTATGGTCTGTTAATTCCTCATAATGATTCTGAGTAATTACTGAAGTATAACTGGTACTGAAGTATAAAAGCAATTTAATCAACTCCATCCTATAAAAAATTAATTACAAGTACTAGACATCAATTAATTTTGATAAAGGCAATGCGAAAACTGGCTTTTAACAGGCTGAACTATTCCTGAGAACTATGGCATATACTAAGTCAGATCACATCTGAATTCTGACTCCAGGTTTACCTCTCTGATGGTGGTTCAAATGATTTATTTTCAGGAATTTCAGGAAAAAAGAATACATTTTCATGGAAGAGACTGGCCACATAACCAGAAATGTCATTAGTTAAGTTCTAATGAGCTGCTAGGATTAAAGGTTTAGAGGCTGAAGGAATCTCAGAGATCATCTAATCCAACCCTGACATTTGACATCTGAGGCCCAGAGAAGTTAAGTAAGTTGCCTGATGTCAAACAGTTAGTAAATGACAGGGTGGGGAGGCAAACCCAGGTTCTCTGATTCCAAATCCAGAGCTCTTTATTAGTTCTCATATGTTAGGTAATTCATTTAAATTTTTTTGCTAAAAATTTCAAGCAGTCACATGTACCAAAATATTCATAGTACATTTTTTGTGGCAGCAAAAAATAAAATAAAATAAACCAAAAAAATGAGGTACACTGTCAATGTCTACTAATTGAGAAATGGCTGCATGAATTATGGTATTTGAATGCAACGGATTATTAACAGCACCAGAAACAACAAAAAGGAGAAAGATGGTAAGACTTCCATGAACTGATGCAGAGTAAAGTAAGTAGAACCAGGAAAACAATATACACAATGACAACTCTAATGTAAATAAAAAGGACACTAAAAGGAAGCCAAACGCTGAGAAACTGCAATGACCAATCTTGGTCCCAGAGAACAGATGATGAAACACACCTCCCTCCTTTTGGTACAGAGTTGGGGACTACAGGTGCAGAACGTCAGATGTGGCCACTGTGTCGGTTGGTTTTTGCTTAACTATTTTTCTTTATTACAAGTGAGGCTCAATGGAGGTGGGGGCATATCCAGTAATGACTGTGATGTAAAAACAAAAGGCATCAATAAAACTTTTTTTTAAATGACAGAATTCTAAATATAAAAATCTCAGGCAGGCTGAATCAACCAGGCCACATTTTGTCATACGTTGGACACCCAGGCCTTAATCTGGTATGCTAGACATCATAGAATTGTCTCAAAACCCTGAATTCCCCAAGCCAGTCTCCTCCAGAATCCCCAGAAACACCCTCCCCATACCCCATTATCCAACAACCATGGTACCTGTTGTTGGGGCACTCTCAGCACCCTAATGGAGGAGGACCACAAACTCACATGGTACTGTCCTGGTGACGCCTGGGGGTGACAAAGAGCATGCGGGTTGGGCGGGCACTGCTGGCATCTGGGTGAGCACTCCATGGCTTGGCATAGCTATGATCCAAAAACACCAGGTCCAGCTCCCGTTCGTGTACTGAAAGCTGGAAAAGCAGAGAGGTGCCCATGCGCCGAGCTGAAGTCTGGAAGTCTCGCTCACCACCACGGTGTGACATTTCTATAGAAGGGACACAGTATCTCAGAGACTGGGAGTCTGCATGCTGTTGGTCTGCAGTAAGAAGAGATCAAATTGCAATAGCGATAGAGCAAAATTCAATTCCAGTATTACAAACTTTTGACTCAAATAATCTTGTCCTTTTCTCAGACAAATGTTGATACTTATATTTTGTATTTCACAACTGAGTACTCATTTTCTATCTTGTGCTGTTTTCTAATTTTATATATATATATATACATATCTCTTGAAAAAAGCCAACATTATACAGCAGAAAGATAACTGGATTTAAAGAGTTAAAAGGCCTGTGCCCAAGTTCCAGCTTTGCTATTTATCACCTAAGCAACTTTGGGCAAGCTACTTTCCCCTCTGAAGTTTCTCAGTCAATAAAATGGGGATAAAAACAATTGTGCTACTTTCCTCACATGGTCATTTTCAGGAACAAATAAGATACTGTACATAATGTACTTTGTGAAATGTAAAGCATCTATACATGCCAGCTATTGTTTAAGAGACCATAAAGAACCATTAAGAGTGGATAATCTTTCAGGCTTTGAAAGGCCAGGGCTGCTTTTCCCACCCACCACCCTTCAAGGGCCCAGGGACCTACAACCAGTGCTATCCCCACCCCTGTCCTTTAACTCCCAACCACCACCTCTGAATGTTCAGTTTATCATCCCACCCCCTCCTCTTTCCACAGCCTCCAGAGCCACCAGAGGTACCCTCAAGACAACTCTTCCACGCTGAGGCCCCATCTCTACCACCCTTCAGACCCTAGGGAAGCCCATAGAATATCACAGACTTGGGGCAGGAAGGGAACTGAGATCACCATCATTCCTCGAGGAAACATAAGCAAAAACTGGGCAAGTGATTTGCTCAAGGTCAAACAGGAAGCTGGCAGAGTGGAAACCTCGCTGAATTGGGAGTCGGAGGCCGTGGATTAAAATCTTAAGTTTTGCTACTTCCTACCCTCGGTGACCTTTAGGAATTCACTTCACCTATCTGGGCCTCAGTTTACTCATCCATAAAAAATTGGGAGCTTGGACTAGATGACCTCGAGGGTTTAAATCAACGCGCCCCCAAGTGGCAGCGCTAACATTTGAACCCAGGACCGAGGGCTCTTACAACACCGCGTTGGCCACCTAAGGAGATCAGGACCAGAGACCTCCGGTCTCCTTCCCTTTTATTCCCCCTCCCCCACCCACTCCCACCTCACCCCACGCCACCCCCGGACGGCGCGCTCCCGCCCCCCCACGTGTCCGCCTCCGCCCGCCCCTCCCCCCGCGTCCTTCCGGCCTCCCCTCCCCCACTTTCCCCATGAGCCTTCTCCCCCTCCTCCTCTCCACCCTGCACAGACCACCGCCCAGAGCCAGGACCCCAGTCCCCCGAGGATACCTCCCAGAGGCGCTACCCGGGCCGGTCCCCGGCGCCCCCCAGGCCCCAGGGCCCGGCCCCCAACGTCGTCCCCGCCCCCTCGATGGTTCCGAGGCCCAGGCCTGGACTCTCACCCGAAGGCGCGCCGGGGCCCAGCGGCGCAACGCCCGGGCCCCGTCGCCGTACGCATGCGCGCCACCACCTTTGCCTGCCGCTGGAGCAAGCTACAAAACTCGGAACTGGACGTGAACCAAGAAGCGAGAACTGTGCGGCCATCTGGAAAACCCGGAGATCGGAACGGAACAGCGCGGGGATGCGCCGGGATCCTTTCGAGGGAGGCAGTTCCCGGGAAAGGCTAAAGTGAAGATGGAATGTGTTTTACTCAGGATTTTCTACATAGACTGATATAGAGTGAAATAACCAAAGCTAAGATACAATAACTACAACAATGTAATCAGAAAGCACAACTGCACACACACATACACGTACGTCAAAAGTGAGTATAACAAAATTCTAAAGGTCAAGCAGGAGATAGGAGCTGGGAGAAGACAGCCACAGGCACTACATGTTGCACGTATTTGGGGATTCTTTTTTAAATGCATCTAATATTTCTCCTCTAAAAAATACTGCTTGAACTAGGAAATTAGATATACAGGCAATGGGGTATAAAAAATCTATCCTGCCCTACAGGAAAATAAGTGAAGGGAGTAAGAGAAGGAGGGGAGATAGAAGGGAGGGCAGATTAGGGGAAGGGGTATTCAGAATGCCCGCAGTCTTGGGGTGTGGGGGAGGGACGAGATGGGGAGAAAATTTGGAACTCAAAATCTTGTGGAAGTGAATGTTGAAAAATAAATGTAAATTAATTAAAAAAAAAGAAAAAGAATTTTATAAATCGCCAAAAAAAAAAAAAGGAGGAAGAGAAATTCATAGAGAGCAAAGAAACTTTGAGAGGTCATATATTTCATTTTTGTTTTTAGTCAGGGTTTATCTCTCAGTCATTACAAATAGGAAGTCCTTTAAAAAAATTCTGTATCCAAACATCAGAAAAAGAGCATTTTTATGCACAGATCAGAGCAAAAAAAAGAGGATCCTACATGAAACTTCGAATAGGTAGGTGCCTTTAAATTAAAGCAGGAGTAGGGGCCCCCCCCCCCCCCCCCCCCCCCCCCCCCCCGCTAGGTGGATAGAGCACCGGCCCTGGATTCAGGAGGAACTGAGTTCAAATCCAGCCTCAGACACATAACACTTACTAGCTGTGTGACCCTGGGCAAGTCACTTAACCCCCATTGCCCAGCCAAAAAAAGAAAACCCAAAAAAATAAATTAAAGCAGGAGTTCTTAACCTGGTTGTTTTTTAAATATTTTGTTAATGGTTTTGTTAACTGTTTCCTATGTGTTGTTTTATACATTAAAAGACATTCTTTTTTAAAAAAATATGTTTATTATATTTTTTAAAAGCAAACCGTATAATAGTAAATTTTCACGTTTTCATACATAAAAAAATACTGCTTGTAGGATGGGATGGCTCTCTGGCAGAGAGAGAGGGTTGGATACTGGGGATAACATGATGATGTACAAGAAACAGAAGACATCAATAAAAACTTTTTTTTTAAAGTACAGATGTTGGGACTCAAAGGGATCGGGAGTTGTTTTTTGTTTGTTTGTTTGTTTGTTTGTTTGTTTTTCATTCTGGCCAGATCTGTGTAGGGAGCTCAGATATTCTGTACCAATGCCCTATACTGCAACTGATTAGAGTTCACATTTATATAGCACTTTAAGGTTTGCAAAGTGCCTTACAGATATCTCATTTTACCCTCCCAAGAACCCTGGGAGGTAGGGGCTGTTACCATCCTCATTTTAGAGGAGGAAAATGAGGAAAACAGGTGAAGTGCCTTGCCGGGGGTCACTCAGGTACTAAGTGTCTTAGCTTGGACCTAAACTCAGGTCTCTCGTTTCAGATCCAGTACTCTAGCCACTGAGCTTTGGATGCAGATCAACCAGTCATTTATTAAATATCTGCTATGTGCAAAGAGTGTAGAATGTTAGATGGACTGGAGCCAGGAAGCTGGGTTCAAGCCCTGTTTCTGACTCACATTGGCTCTGTGACCCATGGGAAAGTCACTTCTCTGTGCCCCAGAAAGTACACATTCTTTGGGAAAAAGGGGTTTCCTCATCTAAGAATTCTCTGCATGCCAAGGGAACCTCAGGTCCAGGCCCTATCACTATCTCCTACTACGTGCATAGCAGTGTATTAGGCCCTGGGAATAGAACAGGGGAAACAGCCCCAGTCCTGAAGGGACTTACGTTCTAATAGGGAGGAAAAAAGCATTTAAGTGTTTTACTCCCTGCCCTGTCTTACATTCCAGCTTACTTCTAAAAAGGGAGGCAACTTGAATGAATAAAAAGTACTTATTAAATGTTTCCTGTGGCCAAGCACTGTGCTAAGCAATAGGGATACAGATACAACAGTGAAGCTGGTCCTTGCCCCAAGGAACTTATGCTCGAATAGAAGATTACACATAGAGAGCCGTAAAGGAGGGGAATGGCATATTTCCAAGATCAAAGACAGTGTCGATATGACTATGGTACATATCAACACACATATAAATCAACAAGCATTAATAAAGGACCTGCTATGTGCCCAAAACTGGCCTAGGCACTGGGGAGACAAAGATGAAAGTGGAACTGTTCCTGCCCCCAGGAAGTTTATAATCTGACCAAGTAAGACATGTGCTGGTATAGGTACAAAATAGATACAAGATGATTGGCAGATTGGGAGGAGGGGCCGTACTACCAGCGGGGGGCATCTGTCAATTAATCACCAAGCATCTAATAAATGCCAATTATGTGCCAGCCTCCACGATAGACAGTGAGGATAGAAAGACAAAAGTGAGGGTCTGTGTCCTCAAGGACAGGACAACAAGTCTTCAGGGAACTGATGTTCTGCTAGGAGTAAAAACATGTATATATATACTCAAATGCTCAGATCTATGATTTCATTGATTTGGAAGTTCCCTTCAAAGCAGTTAGCCATCCATCCATGGATGCCCAATCCTATAAAACTAGTGCCTACATCCTTCCAACAGTTTTCCACAGAGGACCCACTCAGTGTGCTGGTGACCTTCCTCAAAGTTTACTAACCTCAGCAGGGTACTTAGTGAAGTACTCTGGTTCTCTACCAGTCACCCTTCACTCTTCCCCCACCAAGAGACTATCTTTTCTTCCTATCCTACAATTCCTTAATAGCTTTTCCTACTCCTGTTCTTCTGAGTTCTTTATCCCGTTTTGCATTTGTAACTCATTCATATATACCCAGATCTTCTTTGTTGCCAATTGTTTAAGACTCAGTTTTATTTCTTTTGAAACCAAGGTATTCCATATTTTACTACCAATTGTTATTCAGTCATTTTTCAGTCATGTCCGACCCTTGGTGATCCCATCAGGGGTTTTCTTGGCAAAGATGCTGGAGTGGTTTGCCATTTCCTTCTCCAGCACATTTTTACAGATGAGGAACTGAGGCAAATGGAGTTAATTGACTAATCCAGGGTCACACAGCTAGTAAGTGTCTGAGGCCAGATTTGAAGTCAGGAAGGAAAATCTTATTGATTCCAGCCCCAGCACTCTAACTACTGCAACCCAGCTGCCCTAACAACACTAGTAAAATGTTGCTATAAAAATGATGGGCCTTTGGTTTCCTGGGAACCTTGGGGGTCACTAAGGAAACTTTGCAATTTCCTAAAAGTCGCCCAGTCTTCTCTGCTCTTGTTCCCCTCTAGACCTGCTTTGTCATCAGTTTCTATTCTTTGTCCTAAAAATAGACTGGTAGACAAGCTGTATAAGTTGTGCATCTAAATATGTTGAACTCTAAGCCATAGTTAATACGAAATATGTTTTGCATGATTTCATATGTATAACTGATATCCTATCACTTGCCTTTTCAGTAAGTATCTGAGGCTAGATTTTAAGTTAAGTCTTCCTGCCTCCAAGCTTGGCACTCTAACCACCATACCATTTAGCTACCTCTGTTATCACTTGCCTTCTCAACAGGTAGAGAAGAGACTGTAGGGAGGGAGAGAATTCAGAACTCAAAATCTTAAAAATAAATGTTAAAAATATATAAATAATAAATATATTTTTAAAAATCAGAAGTCATTGACTTGTTTTTTAAAAAAAGAGAGAAATCTAAGCTATAGAAATTCTTCGTCCCTCTTGGTCTTTCTGACTATCAGGTTTTCCTGAGAAATCCCAGGAATCTCTGGTTTCCTCCAAAAATACAGTGAAAGGCCACCTTCCTTCTCCAGGAGACATTTCCTAGACCTCCCAACTATGAGTGCCTTCCCACCTAGGTTGCCTCCTGTGTACTTTGTGCCTGGTATATGCTTTTATATGTATATGTATTCTGCCCCCTTTGTGAGCTTCTAAATCAGGGGTTCTTTTATGTCATGGACCCTTTTAGAGGTCTGGTGAGGTCTATGTACCCCTTCTCGGAATGTCTTTAAATATATAAAGTAAAATACATAGGATTACAAAGAAAATCATTTATATCGAACAAAAACTGGGAAGACTACAAAACAGTCTGGCAGAAATTGGATTTAAACAACACTCATGCCATATAACAAAATAATCTCCAAATGGATATATAACTTGGATCTGGAAAGTCACAGTATAATTTTTAAAATAAAGTTTTTTTTATATGGACTTATGCTGAGTGAAGTTGATGGGGTTGGGATCCGGGCCCCAGAAAGGAAAAACCCTGGATTTTCCCACAAGGCCAAATCTCTGGCATTCACCTGAGGCTATAATCCCATCAACTGGCCTTTCATTGTGACTACATCCAATCTCCCAATTCTGTTAATCTAGCCTGGCCTTCCTTTGTCTTTCCTCCCTATGTATGGCCCCAGGCCATTTCCCACCCTTAATTCTAGTTAAGCTCCATTCTCCCCAGGCCAGGAGGTCCAGGTCCCAGGAGTTCTGTTCACCCAAATTTACTGGCCACTCCTAGGTCCCTCCCACAGTCTTTCTGTATATAAGGCCCACCTTGTTCTCCATTAAGAGGCTTAGATTCTTAAAATCTAGCCAATAACTTACTAATGATCAGACTCCTTAAGAGTCTGCCCAATATGTCGGATGTTCTAATAAACCTTGTC